CCTGGTCTTGGCTCTGCACACTTTATCTGGTTCAATTCCTGCGCAGAATAGAAGGACGGAGAGAGCGGGAAGTGCTTGGTGCGAAGCAGCTCTCGCAGCAGCTCTGTTCAGAGCTGCAGAGGCCTTCTGGGCCCGGGGCAGGTTTATAGAGCCCAGGAACTCTGTGGCCACAGGTTGTATCATCTGAGCCTCAGTGTCCTCATCTGTGAAAGGGGACAATAAGTCCCATTTTACCGAGATGCTATGGGGATTCAATGCCATGGAGCCTGAGCGAGGCTTGCTTTTTCCATGACCAGGATTCAGAGCTGCCAGGTGAGGGACCGTTAGGGGAGGGTGCAGGACCGCTGCACCTGGAATGGTTGGGGTGGAATCTTTAAAAAAATAATTTTATTGATTATGCCATTACAGTTGTCCCAATTTTCCCCCTTTGCACCCCTCCACCTGGTACCCGCCTACCCTCCAACAACCCCCCCCTTAGTTCATGTCCATGGGTCATGCATGTAGGTTCTGCGGCCTCTCCATTTCCTGTATTGTTATTAACCTACCCCTGTCTATTTTTTTAAGGTTTTATTTATTTTTAAAGAGAGGGGAAAGAGAGGGAGAGAAACATCAATGTGTGGTTGCCTCTCACATGCCCCAAACAGGGGACCTAGCCCCAGTCAGTGCTCTGACTGGGGATCGAAATGGCGACCCTTTGGTTTGCAGGCCAGTACTCAATCCACGGAGCCACACCAGCCCCGTCCCCCCTGTCTATTCTGTATCTCCCAATTATGCTTATTAACCCCTGCACCTTTCCCCCCATTCTCTCCCTCCCCCCTTCCCACTGATGACCCTCCAAATGTTTTCCATACCCATGATTCTGTTCCTGTTCTGTTTGTTTGCTTACTTTGTTTTTTTTTAGATCCAGTTGTTAGTTGTGAATTTGTTGCCATTTTACTGTTCATAGTTTTGAGCTTCTCATTTTGGTCATAGAGCTGAGCTTATTTTGGTCATCATGTTTAGCTGTCACTTCTGGAAACTTGTCCCCAACTTCCTTTTTTTGCAGTGAACTTTGGTGCTCAGTGTATGAATCTGTGGAAATGGGGTTCTTTCCACTTCATCCCCAGGCACAACAAGGCTTTGAGCTAGTTTTAGAAAGATGAGCTTTGTGTCGATTGTATTCTTGGAAAAGGCATTTGTGACGTGTCCACCGTGCGAGGCGTCTTGAGGGGTGTTGTTTTCAAGGGCCTTTCTCTGTGTTTATTGGAAGAGTTTGGGGCCTGGCCGATATGGACTTGCATGTTGGTTTTACCTCTTACTGACCAGCTCCTTGACCCTGGATGGCAGATCACTGGCCTTTTGCTTTCTTCTTATGTAAAAATTGGGAATATTGTGAAAATTAGTTGCCTTGCTTTGCTGTTGTTACTGTGTCAACTAGCGAGTGATCTTTTGGTTGCAAGTATCAGACAACCCAAACAGGAGTCATTAAATGATAAGGGGGTTGCATGCCCCTAGCTGAGAAGTCTGGAGGTAGAAAGAGTCTAGGATTGGTTGAGTTAGCAGCTCAAGGAGCTAGGTGTTTTTCCTTTTTCTCCTCATCTGCCATCCTCAGCAGGTAGGTGATTTCTCTCCTCTTTGTCACACAATAGCTGCAGCTGCTCCAGGCATCACGGGCAGATCTGATGAGTCCAGCAAAGCAGGATGGTATGTCCTTCCATGTTGTTCCTTTTTATTAGTGAGGAAGCTCTTCCCCAGGAGCCCCCTTGCACACTTCTCTTAGGTCCCCTTGTCCCATGTCTTAGTCTGAGGCCAGGATTAAAGTACTGATGCTTTATTATTTGGGAAATCAGGCCCGCTGAGGTCAAGATGAGGGAAAACAAGGGAGAGTGAGGCCAGGAAAGATGGGGAGCTATGTGGTGCAGTGTTATCCTACTGGCCATTGTTTCACCATGAGCCTCAGAGAGCCACAGGCGCGTGTGTTCGCGTGGCACTGAGGGCCTTGGTTGGTGGGTGTTGCCAGGAGAAACCATGCTCGAATTTGTAAAAAACAAAACAAAACAAAACAAAAACCCTACCAAAAACCAACCCCCCCCCAAAACCGTCCTGGCTTTGCTTTCTGGACTTTCTGGAGGGTAGAGAAAAGAAAGGAGCACATTGGCCCTGGCTGGCGTAGCTCAGTGGATTGAGCGCGGGCCTGTGAACCAGAGTATTGCGGTTCGATTCCCAGTCAGGGCACATGCCTGGGAAGGCCAGTTCCCAGCAGGGGACGCATGAGAGGCAACCATTCATTGATATTTCTCTCCCACTCTTTCTCCTTCCCTTCCCCTCTCTCAAAAAATAAATAAATAAAATATTAAAAAAAAAAAAGAAAGGAGCACATTGATCATATTGTTCAAAATTACTTTTTAAACCTTCTCCAAATCCCAGTAAATTGCTCTAGCCATGCTGCAGTAGGAGGCATTGTAGCTAGTGATTAAGGACCCAGACGCTAGAGACAGACAGACTGGATTCGAGTTCAGGCCCAGCAGCCCACGGGCCACCAGTGACCTGTGCCTACCTTTTAGGGCCCTTTGGGGGGTTGAGTGAGTTAATATCTGTAAGTGTACTACTTGGAGCAGTGCCCGGCAGCATCAGCATATAGTGTTGCGTGTAGTGCATGGATGGAGAAGATAGAGTCCAAGCTGTGATTTTCGTCTCTGGAAACTTGCCTCTTGCTCTGGTGGTGATTCTTACACTTGCATCTTGAGGACACAGAGCTCCTTGACGTAGTCCAGGACAGTAGAGAACACAGATGGCAATGTGCAGCCGCTCTTCGACCTCACGTGCACCCTGCTTTGACTTCCCTTGGTGCACGGCACCCACCCCAGGGGCTCCCTCTGGCTGTCCTGCTGCGGTTTGGGTCACCTGCCCCTCGCTCCCTCTACCTGGAGCTCCTGCTTTAGCTCCAGGCCAAGAGTACTTGTTCAGTGGCTTGTTAGGGCTTCCTACCCTGAATTACTTATTCCCATATCTTATTTCCCTTACTTTTTTGTAAACAGTTGGAGGGGAGGCCCAGCACTTGAGTGTCTTTCGGCAATATTGGGGTGGACTCCCGTGCATAGATGTGTGTGCAGATGGAAACATTGCACAGGCCTGGGATGTGCCATCCTAGAGTCAGTCATTTTAGACAGATGAGCTTTCCGCTGATTGTGTTCTTTCCAACAGTGTTATCAAGTGTCTGCCATGTTGGGTATCTTGTGGGATTTGGGCCACAAAGGTTTAATGTTTTCCAAGTTTTGCTCCCCACCCCCCAAATTGCTGCCCTGAGCCGCTAGTCTAGTCACCAACTCACTGTTTTTGTCCCTCTGTCCTGCGACCCATGCTGAACTGTGTGGACTGAGGCACAGCTTGGACCTCGGGGCAGGGGCTGGAGGCTGGAAGATGAGCTGAGAAAGGTTAGGGCTGAGATAATGAGGGTGTGAGCGTGGAGGGTGCTGGGGATGGAAGTTCCAGGGTGGGGGGCAGGTAGGATAGGAGAATCAGCAGGATTCGGCCCCCACTGTGGGCAGTGAGGGGAGAGAGGAGGAGTCATGGGTTCCTTTAAGGGCTGGTACCTGGGCTTCTGAGGTATGGGGCAGGGAGCAGGCCCTTCTTTCTGTCTCCCTAACCCTCAGGGTGAGAATGGGTGTTGTCCTGTCTTCTCCGCTCAGTAGGTGCAAAGGCTGGGGATGCAAAGGGGAGGGGATGCTGGGCCGGAGAATCAGGCTCCTGGACCCAGCCGGCCTTGGCCTTGCCGTGGAACCTTGGGGCTCTAGTCTTTTCCCATCTTTGGACCTTAGGGATTGCCTCCCCTGCAAAACGAGAGGCCCATTCTTTCCTTCAGTGGCATTGATTGAATGCCTACTGTGTGCACCGTGCTTGGCACAGGGCACAGACGAGGTTTCTGTTCTGGTGTCGGAGGAGTCTGACAGCAACGGAGGAGCAAGCACACCAGCGATGGGATGGGGGAGGCAGCGGCCCCGATTTCCACGGGTTGGTGGGAAAAGAACTCTCCGACGAGGTGGCACTTTAGGCCACGGGAAGGTCGGGGTGGAGTGTTTCGGAGAAGGCAGTAACTCCGTGAGGCCTCTGAGGGGGAAGCCAGTTCCTACAGCTGAGGGCATGATGGGGCGAGGAGGTCCGAGGGCCACAGGCTGTGGCTCAGAGTTTGAGTTTTATTCTAAGTGTGACGAGAGGCTGGAGGACATTCCTCCCCCCACCCCACCCCCACTAATGTCCCTTTCGGTTATTTTTCTGTTCACAAGGATGAAGCTTTGAAAAATCCTGTTAACCGTTAAAAGGCATACTTACAAAACAGTAGAATGCCCACAACTTAGGCTTTTAAGCATGGGGAAATAATTTATGGATCCTGATGAATATCCGAGGGCCCCCAGGGGCCAAAAGATGGCAGATGGAGATGCTATCAACTAAACAATCTTTAAGGTCCTTCTGTTTCAAACATTCATTCTTCCCAAAGCTGCATGCAATAGGTTTTTGTTTTTTTTTTTTGAAGGATTATTGCCACCTACTGGTAGAAGGGAGAAGGTGAATTTTTGTACAATGAAAATCCCAAGCCGGTGGGTTTCCTCTGCCCCTCACCTGGCTTTCCCCTCTGCACTCAAGACCTGGATATGGCTCTGGGGAAGGCCGCCATGGTCCTGCCTTCCCTTCTTTCTGGCCAGAGAATTGGGACTTTGTTTCTGGCTCCTTCTGTCTCAATTCGAGATGCAGCGGCAGGAAGGAGTGTTGGAAGTATCTGCGAGGACACACTCTGGCAAGCCAACCGCCAGGCAGCCTCCATACAGCCCAGGGAAGCCATTGTTTGTAACCAACACCGAGTTCCCACACTGTGTCCCCACACCGCGGCCTCGGGCTGCAGGCCTTTGCTTAATGGGTTTCTCAGTGCCCCTCCCCATTATTAAATTCTCTGCTGCTTTATTTCTGATTTGCATTTTCCATGGCTGAGTGAATCTGCTGACTTCCGTTTTCTTTTTCTGTTACAGATTTTGTGCCACAGTGCCTGTGACGGTGAGTACCACTTCCCTCTCCACTCTTGTTCCCTACTGCCCCCTGATGGACACAGCAACATTAACAGCAATGTGAAAATCACAGAACGTGCTAATTTGGGAGCACTCGCTTAGTTTCCCCAATTGTGCTTTAGGTGTAGGGTGGGGGAGAAAACAGCTAGTGGAAAAAAAATAGGATTCAATCAAGCGTACAACCTGGACAAAGAAAATATTTCCTGTGATTCTTTATTTCCCAACCTACATCCATGGGTGTTTAAAAAAAAAAACCTAGTTGAAATGATGTTGCAGTATGACTTACACTTACATTATGTGCTGTGATCCCGTAAGTATTTTCTTGGGTTGCTACATTGCCCTGCAGTTTTTAAATGGTGCACAAGGCTTGAAGAACCTGTAGAGAACCAGACAGCTGCTCGTATGTTTTCCTTCCATGTGGAGGGCTGCATCCCACTTGGCAACTAGAGCTGGTCCACAGCAGTCCTCCCAGTCTACAGTCAAGTGAGAAAAATAAGGATAGGAGAGTAAGTTTTTAATGAAGCTAAATATATCCAGTTGCAAGTGCTACCTAGTCTGGGATTATGCACTTAATCATTTCTTTTGAGCGATGAAATGTTTCAGTAAGAAATAAAGAGAATAGGAGTTGGCAGTTTTTTTTAAAAATGGAAAAAATTGGTAGCTTTTTTGTCTGCCCTCAAAATTTGGGGACTTTTTTCCCCCAAGATTGGTAAAATCCCAAAGTCCATGAACCGTAGAGCTGCAATGATTAGCGTGCTCTCCGAGTGCCACGGGAAGGGGGCGGATCTTGCTGAAAGGTTCTCCTGAAGGAATCTGTTAATGACAGTCCTCGCACGGTTCGTGCACGCGACGGGGAGAGTCCTGCAGCTGCCTTTTCTGCCTCGTTAATCAGTTTGGTCAACAAGCCGATACTACGTGCGAAAGAAGAAAATGTCTGCCCGTAGAGGCGATATTTTAAAGCGAGAGATGGGGAGATGAGGAAACTATTTTACATTTTACAAATTATGATAAAAATGCGTTGTGTAGCGAATATATGGTGGAGGTGCCGTTTTCTTAGTTTGCGTTTTGTGTTTCTTTCCTAAATTCTAGACCTGTCCTGCAGCCCGGTGATGGTCCTGTCTACAACCAATGAGACTCTTCCTAGTGAGCTGCCGGGAAACTATTCAGCACGCACTCCGACTGACTGGGGCAGCCAGAGTCACGGGAACCTCTCAGTGAATGAGAAGAGCCTCGACCCAGTGTGGACAAGTGAGCAGGACTCTTCTTTTGGGACCATTTGTGGGGTTTAGAGAATGTAAATGTCTTCCTTTCGGCAGCGTGTTTGAGCTCCCACAGTGAAAAGCAGTTTCTCTCATCACTCTTCTCCCCACCCCAGGCCCCGGTGCCTGGCTGAAGGCACCCTGGCTGCTCCGCGAGCTGCCCTAGCCCTCGCTCTGCCTGGTGGGTGACCGAGGCTCTGCCTACTGTGCCGAGCAGCTAGGAGCACAGGTGTAGGGTCAGAGCCCCTGGCTGGCTTCCTGGCCCTGTTGGTTTCTAGCTCTGTGACCCTGGGCAAGTCACTAGTCCTCATAGACCTCAGTGTCTGCATCTGCATTAAAAACAACAACAGCAACTAAACATTTTTTATTTTTATTTTTATTTTTCTTCACATTTTTTACTGTTGTTCCAGTATAGTTGTCTCCATTTTCCTCCACCACTCCCCCCTACCCCAGCCATCCCCATAAAAACGTATTTTAAAACATGCTTTATTTTCTGAAATATTGAAACTTAAGCACCTGCTTTTCTGAAACCTTCTCAGAATCCCTGCACGACGCGGTAAAACTGAGTTCTCAACACGTTTCTCCTTTGTGAAAATAGTGTGATAGCCTTCTCTGTGCACTTGTCGTGAGGCAGCAATGAGCAAACGCACGCGTGCACGGCACCTGGTGCAGAGCCTGGAACATGGTCCCAAAGAGGCCTGCTCTCCTCGCCGCCTCCCCCACCGTGACTGCGGTTCTTGTTGTGTCAGCCCCTCCCCGTCAGCAGCATCGATCGTCATTGTCACTCCAGCGATAACCTGCCACCCGTGCTGCTATGACCCTGTCACTCTATCAGCAGGAAGCTCAAGTCTCAGGGGTTTCCTGGCATGAAGTCTCTTGCACTGTGAGCCACGAGACTCTTCCCTGATTGTTCCTTTTTTCTTTCTCGTTTCCTCTCCTGCCTCTTTCCATGGACTCAAATGATTGCATCTCGTGTACCAGTCCAGTACCTGGTTAGGCACACTCTCCAATCTGGCATTTGGAGGTCATGTGCATGCCCAGGTGGTGTTCACAGTACCATCTCTTTCTCTTCTGGGGTCAGTCCCCAGGTTCTTGAGAAGAAGGGCCTCATTGCTGTGCTTTCTCTTCTGTTGCCGGTCGGCCCTCCTTGGCCGTGACTGCGGTGAGAGGGCATCCACTCTGCAGTCTCAGTCACTGTTAATAGCCACAATCGCGTGCATGGTTTTAATCCACAAGTGGACAGACGGTGAATGTGAGGTTCAGTGAGGGGAGAAGACTTTGAAGAAGATCACATGACTGGTGACTAGCAAGATTAGACTCCAGACCCAGATTTTAAAACGTCCTAGTCCAGGGGCTGTGTTTACCACGTCAGGGCACCATAATAATCGCCCTTTACGGTTAAGGCAGTATATTGGAGCCGTCTCCACAGGAACCTGAGGCTGAGAGGTGTGACGGGACCCACTCCAGGCCACCCAGCTATGTCTGGGTCTGCACTCCAAGGCCAGTTCTTTCCCCTAATACGTTATTCTGTCCCTTGTCATCTTCATGCCTGGAAATTATGGAGCTTCCTCCTGATCCCAGGGTTTGACAAACAAGTGGTCAGATGCTTCTGCACTGTGGGGTGCCTCTCTGAACGTGGCTGTTTTCTGAGAGTTGGGAGTCACGCTCCCTTTGCATCTTTGGTCTCGGTTTGTCCCTGCTTCTGTAGAGATGTCCCCTTGTTCAGGTCACAGCCAGCGTGGCCAACCTCTACCACTTTCGTCTCTGTTTTAAAGCCTTTTGGTTCACAAACACACATGTGTAGGTAGCTAAATGTCTTGGCGGAGGGAATTGCAGGAGACGATGTAAAGAGAAGTGAAGTCCTGTGCTGCAGAATTCACTTCTGGAAAGTAGATGTGCAGGTCAGGCTTGGCTCTTACATTTCTTCTGCTAATGTAATTTTTTCTTTTCTTTTTCTTCGGAAACAATGTTAAAATAAAACCCCATCCTGTGTATGGCATTGAAGTTGCTTCCAAAAGTCCAACCAGTGTGAGTCTGAAATGGAAAAACGGCGGCCGAAATGCTTCTGAGTATAAAGTACAGAGTGAGAACGGGCAGCTGAGTTATGTGCCAAGTGAAAGCGGCATCAACATCACACACTTAAGTCCAGCAACTTTGTATAACTTCTCCATCACTTCAGGAACAGACGGGACTGAGAGAGACACCGCAGTCGTAACTTTCACTACAGGTGAGCGGACCAGCTCCCGGGGATGACCCTGGACCACTCCTTCTTGCCCCGTAGCCTAGGGCTTCGTCCATTCAAGTTGCCTGTTGAAAAGAGAGAAGTTTTCATTCACTGCGAAGAGGAGAAGAGGTTCTGTATTGTTTCAGGTCCAGGCATTCAGGTGGCCTGATGCTTCAGCATTAAGGCCCTTGGTGTTTGGGGATGTTTTAACTAATTCCATCTGTTTAGTTGTAAAAATCTTTTGTTACTATTGGTTAACACTTTTATGCTAAGCCCTGGGGGCAGAGACCCCATCAGACATGTGTTCTGATGTGTCAGTAATTACAAGGCTCCTTCCCAGCTCCCCAGGAAAGCTGATGCTGACTTTATATTGAGTTTATATCTCCAGGAGATTTCCTTGGGGTTGAGGTTTTGGTATATTTTATAGAGGAAAGCATGTTTCAAATCAAGGAGCCCAGTGACGTTTGACTAAGCTTAGCTTTGTATTAAGTTTGATTTTTATTTAGCTTAGATGTCAATATCCTGGGTCCCCTGTTACAGCTGCAAATTTAGCTCTTTTCTTTTTAAAGCTGAAAAGAACCCCCAAAAAAAATATATATAGAAAAGATGAGGAGCCCTTTTTAAGCTGAGAAAAAACAAACGTTCAAGAACGAGGCCCACTGTTGTTTCGACTGGGGCGGGATCTCCTCGCCTGGTGAAGGCCATGAGCCTCGCCGCTTGGAGCCCACGGCTTGGAGTGACCGCCTACAGGGGCCAGTGTCCTCTGCACACGGAGCTGGCAAACACTAGACCGGGCATCTTCAACTTTTTTTCCCAGCCAGGAAACAACTTCTTCAAGCAAAATCTTTCCCAGAAGCTCAGTGAATAAAAAGAACTGGAGGGAGAAGAGCTGAGGGGTGCGGTGTCTCGGGGACCTCCCCAAAACAATCTGGAGCTCCTCTGGGCACAGTTTTAGAGGGAAGACCCTGCACTCAATAAGGCTTTGCCGTGTTCTGTTGTGAAAGAGAGGAAAAGGAGATAGAGAAGAATTAAGTGGGGAAAAGAAGACAGAATTTAGAGATGGCGATGGGGACAAGGGGCTGGAGGATGGGTGACGATGGGAAGGGCGAGGCCTCGAGGTGGCAGGAGGCATCTGGCCAGGAGCTGAGGGCCCTCACCTCTACCTCACGGCCCCTGAGGACAAGGCTGTGCTCATCTGTTACTGCTTACTGGACACGTATTGTGTGCTTAGCTGTCCTTAATTTTGGTTTGGAAGATTTTATTTATTTTTAGAGAGTGGGAAGGGAGGGAGAGAAACATTGATTACTTGCCTCTCATGCACCCTGAACTGGGGACCAGGCCTGTAACCCAGGCATGTGCCGTGACTGGGAATTGAACTGGTTGGTGACCTCTTGGTTCGCAGGCCAATGCTCAGCCCACTGAGCCACAGCAGCCATAACCTTAATTTTGTCCTCACAGTAACCCTGAGAACTATAGTGGAAGAGACTAGAAAGCTGAGAAGTTGTTTCTTGTGAGGTCCCCAGAGTTACAAGTGGTGGGAACCCCTGTGGTACAGTGTCGTTCATAACCAGGTCACCAGGCTCACTGAGCCATCTACTGGATTGGTGTTCTATTAAAAAAAAACAAACCAAAAGCATACGAGTGACCTCATTTAGAAACTCTTGCCTCAGAAACATTCGATATGAAGAATAGGACCACAGAGCGGACCAGCTCACCACAGAGCTGGGTGGAGCCTGGCTGTCGTCTAGACTGCTGTCTTCAAGTCCCGTCACCTGCAGACGTCAGGCAGTTTCCGCTCTGTCTGTCTGCAACCTGCTTAAGGCAGGAGCCCCAGTACAGGTACAATTACCTGTATTGTCTCGACTCGAGACCTTTAGGCACAGCAAGCAGTCACTTGGCTTGAAGCTCCGTTCCCGATGTCCACAGCAGGTGTGATGAAGGGCTGCTGTTTAGAAGAGGGTCACATCGCTGTCGCTTCGCTGTCTCGGAGGACAGCACCGACCCTGAAAAGTTTTGGCTTTAAGAGTTTTTCTTTTCCTCTTTTCTGCATATGACATATGTTTTTTCCTTCTGTGACGTGATCGAAGTGTACCAGACGCTGATATGAAGGAAGTATTTTTAGTGGGCGATATTGAGACGCCAATGTCCCCAGTCATCCTGAATGAAAAGCGGTTACACGTATCTCATCCATCGGTGCCCATTGTCTGTTTTTTCAAACAGAGCCGCTTCCAGTTTCTCGTCTCTGCGTCGCCTTCAAGGGGGTGGTGAAAGTTGCTCTCACCTGGGAGACTGGTGTTGGCAACACCACCTGCCGGATTCTCCTTGAAGACCAGGGAAGCCACAAGGAGTTGGATCCAAACTTAATAGTCAATACTACAATCAAGTCAGGGTCTATCTATGAGGCCCGATGTGTTTCAGAATCAGAGAAGATGCAGACAGACTCCGTGGCTGGAGGACGTGGCTCAGGTGAGTTACAAGAGTGTGCTTCTCATCTGCTTGCTGGTTTTGCCTTTCGGTAACTGCATGCTTCTTAAAAATATTGTTCTTATATTTGTATGGAGTTTTAGATTTTTGTAGAGGACTCCTCCTACACGTTTTAGTTTGACCCCACCCCTGTATGAGGAAGGAGGAAAAAATGTTTTTATTTTACGGGTTGGCATATTGGGGCTCAGCGGGGCAAGGGGAGGGGGGTTGAAACTTCTGGGAATCTGGCATTCAGAAAAGTAGCTGGCCTGGGTAGCTTTACAGACTTTCAGGTGAACAAATAACAGATGTGTTAACCCAAGTAGGGCCATCGGCAGAACATTCCACACGCCCCGAATAAAGGGACGCGTTAGGCAGCTCTAGCAGGCGTCTCTCGCAGTGACAGTGGAGTAGTCATTGCAGATTTCAGCATTTTCTGGGGAACTCTGTGACTCGAGAAGAACAAGTGTTTCATCCCCATTTTACACGTAAGAAAACAGAGCTACAACGTGGGTGCTGGGATCCCTGATTGCAGGTGACAGAAACCAGACTTTCCGAAGCTGAGACTAGAAGAGCAACTGACTGGCTCATAATATTTCCCTGCCACGGGCAGCCAGGGCTTAGAGAAGGGGACAGGGTGACGCTCACGTCTTCTTCCTTTTTGTCAGCGTTGTTCTCAGAGTGGCTCCCTCCACCCAACTCAAGGGGAGACGGCCAGCAGCGGGTTCACTCCCTATGAACAGGGGTCGGTCCAGGGGAACAAGTCTTCAAACGGGGTCTGTTGAGCCACGTTTGAATCTTGTGGCTGTCCCTGGAAGCCCACAGCTGGTCTTGGATGATTTCCTGAATGAAGGGAGAGAGATGCAAATAGATGAGTTTGAAAGGGAAGCGCAAATATCTGTGGTGCTTCTTGGGACAGCAGTGCAGAGTAAAATACCTGCCCTGGATCGGGGCCTTTTCAGGCTGGTCTGGGGGAGGAGGGCAACAGATGCTTCTGGAATACCAACTGTGTGGACTGAGAGAAGACAGGGTTGTGCTTCTGTTGCAGTTAATGTCTTTGCCTTTTGTGTTTGAAACAGATGCCACCGGCACAGGGGGCATGGCTGGGACTGCCCCTGGGAGCAAATGCCAACTCGATCCTAGCAGACAACCCTCTACTTTTCCGGCCAATAAAACGGAAGTCCTGCTTCTTGGGTTAAAGTCTGGCACATGGTACAAGGCCACTGTTTATTCTCAAGCAGAGGATGGCACAGAGGGACAGCCCATGGTCACAGAATTCAGGACAGGTATGTTGGACTTCATAGAATGGCGTCAGCCAGGATTTCTAGCTCAAAGTTATGTCCTCTGTGATTCTGCTTCTGAGTTAGCTCTTGCTTCACAAGTAGCTTTATTGTCAGATGGAGTTTTCTGGAAGAGATTTTGGACAGAGCAGACCCACTGAGGTTCTTAACTCTGTGGCCAAGACTCTTCTTTCACTGAGTTCGATAAAGCACAGGGAGCAAGCAGCCCCCGGGTGCAGACCCAGGGCACTGCCTCCTGCTTTTCTGTCCTGTCTCTGCCTGTGAACCGATGAGACAAGCTGGTGTCACGCTCTTCTCTTATAAACCGATATTCATTTTGTCAATGTTGGTTAAGTATTTTGCCCCTGAGATAAGAGGATGAGTTTCGTCCTTTGTCCTGACCTTGGAAAGCACACTGATCTTACCATTGAAGCTTATTGCATGTGCGAGTGGCTGGTCTCTACCTCTATTTTTTAGCAGCACGCCCCCTCCGTAAGTTGACCAGTACTTAAAGGCTGTTTGGACTGATGCTGATGAGGGAGCAAAGAACTACACAGCCCCCGCCCTCAGGGAATTCCCATATAGACGGGGAACGGACACACACGTCCTTGGAAAGGCACACGGCAGGCTCTGTGGGGTCAGGGGCAAACACTGCTTGTACTTCCTGGGGGCTTGGCTGCAGGCAGCCTGACCTGACTCTGGTTATATTATCCCAAAGTACGTCTATTCTGAATGGTGGTCATAGGCCCCCAGAAGAGGGGGCATGGGGTGGGGGCTGGAAGACCAAGGACAGAAAACAGATTAGCATCCAGGAAACTCGGGGGGCGGGGGGCGGTGCTGCACCACACTGGATCTGGCTCTCTCTCAGGATTCAAAGTCCTGAAATGGAGAGGGTGTCACAAACCTGCTTTCTGGATTTCTGTGCTGGGCATAGGAGACACTGTCCCCCCAGCTTCTACGTGGGTGGCAGGTACTTCCTCCCACCAAGGGGCTGTGGGGTGCCATTCAGAAGAGGGGGTTGGGTGCTGCACAGGTAATGCATGGTCAGCTGCCCACTGAGGAGTCCACCATGTCACAAGAAGAACAAAGAGCAACTATGCAGCTGCAATTGGCCAGGTTGTTTCTTCATAGAAGAAGATGCCTGGCTTTTGCTGGGACCCCCATACATTTGTGCGAGTTGTGGTTAAATGAGATAGGAAGGAACCATCACCGAGAGTGTTTCTTAGACTAGACAACATGCCCTGATGACAGCTTCTCTCTCTCTCTCTCTCTCTCTCTCTGGCTTGGCCATTCTGGTTGTTGTGAACTCCTTTTGTGTCTTCACAGATTCCTTTCAGGTTTTGGACCTCGAAGCTGCCAACATCAGTGCCACAAGCATGACCCTGACATGGAAAATGAATGATAATGGGTCGTGCTTGCTCTACACCTACAATGTAAAAGTTGTCGGGGACACCGAGCTCTTCAACCTCACCGTCAATGAGACTCAGACTGTCCTCACTGAACTCAGCCCGAATACTTTCTACAACATCACAGTGTGTCCTTCCTTCCAGGATGGTTCTGAGTGCATACCGGGCTTCCTCCAAGTGTACACCCGTGAGTTCACGCATTGCTTGCTAGCCTTTCCTTCCTGCCTGCCTGCCCCGGGCCAGGCCCAGATACAAGGCTCTGTCCTCACCCTCCAGGGAAGCCCGTCTGAGTGTGTGAGTCACTGGGCTTCACTCCTTCAGGATCTGGATGCAGTAACGGCCATCACAGACTGACCCTGGCTCACGCCCAGAGTGGTGTGACGGCCTTTCTCTGATCTGTCTCTTCACAGCCCTGTCACCTGGTTGGCATTAGCTGCTTTATGGACTAGGGGGCCAAGGCTGAGAGAGGTGTTGTAGGCAGGTGTCACACCTGGTGAGTGACAGAGGTGGAATCAAGCAGCTGGGGGTGTGTCAGCGCCAGCCTGTGCTTCTAAAGACTGTTCTAGTGTGGGAGGGGCCTGGAGTGATTTGCCACAAGGAGACATAAAGAACCTGGATATTCATGCTTTTTTTGTGCTTAAGATGCTGACATTATAACGAGGCAGGGCACAGCTGTGTCTCATCCCTTGTTTGCTTAACTGTCCCTTAAAGATGGGAGGCAGCCTATTACAAGCTGTTTGTTCTGAAGAAGGTCCAATAACTTAAACCAGTAATGGTGCACCAGTAGTGGACTAGTAATAGTACTGTCCACTATACTAGTGGACAGTGGTTCCTGGGGTCGGCACTGGGATGCCTGTGTCACAGGTGAGAAAACCATGCCTCAGCATGCCCGAACGGTGTGCCCAGAGCTAGCCAGTGCTGGAGGGGGGACCTGAACCCCGGGTGCCTGGCTCTGGACCCAGGGCTGCTCCCACAAGAGTGCTTTACCCGAATGTCTGCTCCTTCCCTGGAAGCACACTGGCCACCCCAAGGTCCTACTCCGGGCCCTGAACCCTTACCTCGGGGTTCACACCGCCTCCCATTTCCTGTGAATGGCTTTGAATAACCCGAGCTAACAGTTTCTGCACTCTTGTAGCCAAGTGTTCTCGCAGTGGCCAAAGTACCGCTTTCTGAGCAGGTCTGTGTTGTAGGTGACAGGACAAGGAAGAGGAAAAGAGAGGAGGTCAGGTGTCACTGAATCTTGGTGTAGACATTTGGCGAGGTTCAGTCCCCCTTGTCGCCTGGAGGGAGATTCTTGTCTAGGTCTTCACCTTTTCCCGCAGGTCCTGCTCCAGTGTCCGACTTCCGAGTCACGGCCGTCAACACCAGGAGTATTGGCTTAGCTTGGAGCAGCAAAGACTCGGATTCCTTTAAGATACTGACCAGGCAGGACGGAGCTGCAAAACTTCAGACGCAAACAACCAACCAAAGCAGCATTTTCATTGGTGACTTATACCCCGGCACCAAGTACTGTTTTGAAATAGTCCCACTAGGACGAAATGGGACTGAAGGGGATTCCCAAAACATTTGCAGTACAACTGGTAAGTGAAGAGGCTGCGTTTTCTGCGAGACAGTGATGTTTCTCAAAGGAAATCAGGATAATTTATAAATGTCAGGTTTTCCAAATATTGCTTTTCTTTTAATTATCTAAAAAGTCTTAAAAACAAAAAACACCTTACAACAACAGTAATGCATATCAGTTCTATAAAATACAGGCAAGAAAAACAAGAAAATCACATATAAACCATTGATCAGAGGTAGTCACTGGTAACTTTTGATGTAGGATGATTTATAATCTAATGATACACGTAGGCACACATCCACACACACGTCCACACCTATGTGTTTTTTCTTGGACAAAATGTATACCTGAGGTTGTATAATCGGCTTCCCCCCGCCCCCACATACCATCTTGCTGTAAGCGTTCCCCTCTGTCAGTATGAATACTCTGGATTTCTACAGGATAGTTTTCATACCTTCCTGGCATTCCATGGTCTAGATCTGGCGTCCACAGATAATAACGGCCCACAGGCCAGACCCGGCCAACTGCCTGTTGCTGTAGATAGTTTATGGAAACACAACCATGCTTATTTATTTATATACTGTCTATGGCTTTCTTTGTGCTATAAATGTGTAATTGCAATAGAGAATATGAATGTATATGTCCCACGAAGCCTAAAATATGTATTCCGTGGCCTTATGGAGAAGATTTGTTGACCCTGGGCCAGATCAGTGGTTTTCAGTGTGATCTCTGGAGTCTCCTAGATTCAGTCAGAGAGTTTGGGGGTATTATTATCACAACACAGGTGTTGTTTGCCCTTGTCACTCCCACCCTCTCATGAAGAGGGTTCAGTGGAATTTTCCAGATGCCCCATGACACAGGATGACCCCATCGCTCCGACAGTTTGTACAGTCTTATGTTTTAAAAATTTCCTCATTTTTATATATTTTTAAAGATTTTATTTATTTACTCTTAGAGGGGAAGGAAAGGAGAAAGAGAGAGAGAAACATCAATATGTGGTTGCCTCTCACACACCCCCTACTGGGGACCTGGCCCACAACTCAGGCATGTGCCCTGACTGGGAATCAAACCAGCGACCCTTTGATTCACAGGTCTATGCTCACTCCACTGAGCTACACCAGCCAGGGCAAAAAATTTCCTCATTTTTAATTTTTAACACAATAAATATAAATATACCTTCCTTGACCCAAATTTCTCTGAGAGCCTTACTAATGTTTAGGTAGGTTAAGTCCGAGATCCAGATTTTTAAGAACCACTGGCCTGCATGTGCTGTAAGTTATTTAACTGCTCTTTCACCATTGGGCAGATGGGTTACTGATGGTTTTTCGTAGACAGTGTTGGGATGCAGTAGTACTGTTAGTTCTAGAAAGCGAATTGATATTGATAAGGGCATTTTATGAAAACAATTTAATGGTTCATCACTATTTTCAAAATTTGAAGTCGGACATGTTGGAAAGTTTGGAAAACACACCGGATTTCTTGATCTTTGACTGTGAGAGAGCTGGAACTTTTCATACAGAGAGGAAGCATGCAGACAGGAGACTCAGTCCTTGAGCCACACGTGGAACCAGTGGGGCTTCTCAGATTCTCTGTGTGCAGGTCCCTTCAATGCTATTGGTTGGGTTGAGGGCTGACAGTCAGTTGGAAGATCTGCTCCCAGAAGAGGGGAACTGCTTAAATGCATCCCTCAGGTGAAGTGCAGTAGCTCCCTGTTTTAAATCCGAATTTTAGATTAGACTTGTTGAGATGGAGTCTTAACAGTAACATGTGACAGTCTGTCCAGAAAGTCTCAAGCCACGCACTGTGAAAAATAGACATTCACTGAAGAAGATACAAGATACAAGAAACATTGTACATAGGACAATAATGTCTCAGTCCCCATCAGAGCAGGCACCTTGGGACCTCACGTAGTTCTCTCAGTCACCACCTGCTGCCCTGTTGTATTTTCCTGAAAATCATCAATGATCTGAAACCTCTTCCCTTTCAAAGGTGGTTTTAGTTTGGGGAAAAGGCAGAAGTGGCAAGGTGCCAAATCTGGGCTGTAGCAAGCCTGAGTCACCTGGGTGATTTGATGTTTGGCCGAAAAACTATGCAGGAGACATGACGAGTGAATGGGTGCATTGTCGTGATGAAGCTGCCAATCACCAGTTGCCCAATAGCCGCAGCCTTCTGAGTCACAAGTTTCTCTGTGTTAGGAGGGAGCCACAATTCTTGAAAGAATCGAGAGCGCATGCGTCTCAACTAGGTTTTGGAGTTTGCCCTTCATGAGCTCATTTGAGACTTTGATGACCAAAGAGCAAGTCCTGTTGACAGACACTGTGAAGTAAAGCTGGAGGTCACGATGGTCATTAACAGACTTCCATCCTCCTTCCTCTTCTCCGACCAGGCTCCAGTGGAGTGTGTGACATCCGTGTGACCCACGTCACCACAGCCGAGATACAGCTGGAGTGGCAGAGTGTAGACAACGCCTCCGACTACATCTACCACCTCGACCTGAGGTCTGAGCACAGTGCTGAGCAGACCAACAGTTCTCACAGAGCCTTCACTTTCAGGGGCCTGGTCCCGGGCACCTTGTATAACATCACAATTGTTCCAGAAGTGCAAGGCGTCCCGGGGCGCCCCAGCTCCATTGCACAGTACACACGTGAGTGTCGTAGGAGGCCCTCTTAAGGGAATGTTCTCCTTGACTTTCACTTGGAGGGTGGGAAGGAGGCATTGGCTCAGGGGCCCTTGTTTCTGGGCTCCAGGTCAAATGTGAAACGACTTATGCTGAAAATACCGGCCTCGGCAGAGGTTCTGCTCTTCTCACCGGGCACTGGTGCTGAGCCTTGTGGACTTGGACTTGTCCTGAGAAGCAGGAAGTGGTCCCATAAGCATGGGAAACATACACTGTCTCAGTCATTCCTTGGGGACCCAGACAGAAGCAGAGTCTCCTTTGGGTCCTGTTGGTGTGGGGAGATTCTGCTTAGGATGAGCTTTGTATGTGGCAGTGAGGGAGGGCCTTTGCCCTCAGTCAGTCCCAGTAAACGTATGGTAGAGATGGTAGCTTATACTGTCTTTTCAGTACACGTTTTCTCTTTCATTACTCAGACTTCAGAAACAGATAAGAAAGTATATCTTGAAACTTGAAGATACCTTTGAAGTGTTAAAAGAAGCACAACATAGAATAGAATTCCACTGTGTATATGTACCACAATTTTTTGATCCATTCATTTACTGATGGGCACCTAGGTTGCTTCCAACTCTTGGCTATTGTAAATTGAATAGGAAGGACGCAGGGACGAGAACTAAGGGGGGTGGGAATGGGAGGGAGGTGGAGAGCACGGGGCGGCGGGGGCTGTGATGGGAGAAATAGACAAAAAAACTCTACTTGAAAAAATAACTAAATAAAATTTAAAAAAAAAGAAAAAAGAGAAACTGAAATAAATAAATAAAAATTAAAAAAGTACAACGAACTTTATTATTCTGAGAATTTAATCTGTACAGTAATTTTCTGAATGCCTTTTTGAGACACCTTTCATCAGTCGAGTCAGCAAATATTAGATTTATTTGTTCTTTGTACAAATAGTCAGGCTATTTGTAGATGCAGTCCATAAAAGGCATTCAGGCTAACTCTTGGCATTCGGGCTTACCTGTGCTTTTATTTTTTATATTAATTTTTTTTCCACTAAGGGCCCAGCACCGTGTTCCGTGTTGAGATCAGCACCAACACCACCGCAGCAGCCATCCGCTGGCAGAACTCCGACAAGGCCTCTCCCAACTACACCTACCGCCTTCTCGTCGAGAGGGAAGGCAATTCCAGCAATGCCACTGAGGTAGTCACAGGCATTGGCGTCACTGGTGCTACAGTCCCCGATTTAATACCTGGCTCAGGGTACACCATACAGATCTTCGCCCAGGTGGGGGAAGGCACCGAGTCACTGGAACCTGGCTGGCAGTCATTCTGTACAGGTGAGTAGCCCCAGATGCTTCTGGGACTTCTTCTGGTGGGGGCCTTGCAGGGAGGTCTGCCCCAGACTTTGGTTTGTCAGCTTTTGTGTGGTTTGCCACAATAGACACTGAACTGTCAGACATCCTGTTAGCTTCTTAGTGCTGTCCTGTTGCCTTCATCATTTACTCATCCCACAAATATTTACTGAGCACTGACTGTATGCCAGGCACTTTAAAATGACTCAGATAAGTCCCAGCCTTCCTGGAACTTTTATTCTGCAGGGGAAGACATAATAAACAAGATAAATAGTTAGTAGCTTGATGATTACTGCCATGGAGAGGGGAAAAAACCAAGGAAGAGAGTAGCTGTTTGTTGAGGGTGCCCAGGGAAGGCTTCAGGGAAAAGGTGACTTTTGAGCAAAGATCTGAAGGAAGTAGAAAGCCAGCTGTGTGACTTCAGAGCACAGAGCTTTACAGGCAGAGCAGCAGCCAGTGCAAAGGCCCTGAGGCTGGCGGGTGCCTGCAGTGCTGAAGGAGGAGTGGGAGGCCAGGGGGGCAGGAATGGGTCCACAGGAGCAAGAGGGTGAGGGGTGGGTGGTGAGGACCCAGAGCAGGGTCGTCAATCTCATTTTCATTGGGGGCCACATCAGCCTCACGGTTGTTTTCAAAGGGCTGAAATAATTTTAGGACTGTGTAAATGTAACTGCTTCTTAACTGTTAAGGAGTTGAAATTACATTCGGCCCTTTCAAAGCAACTGAGGCTAATGTGGCCCCCGGTGAAAACAAGTTTGACAGTCCAGCCCCAGAGGGAAGGGCTGGGATATGGATGATGTCTAGACTGTAAGGTATAGTTTGGCTTTTCCACAAAGCAGATGCAAAGGAAGTTGTTAAAATGGATGCTCAGCTTCTCACCTTTCTTGGTCCTTATCTCTCACTGCAAAAGGTGTGGTGGAGAGAAGGGGAGCCCTGTGGTCAGCAGAGGGAGCTTCCAGAGAGTAGCCCAGAGACTGTTTTGCAGATGGTTACGAGGACTTCACAGCTCTGACTGTGGCCCAGAGACCCTCTTATTCTCCACTCTTTTTGCACCCACACCTTCCATTCTTTAGACCAAGCCATTCAGGTGTGTTCAGGCTGATTTGGAAGGCGGGAGACTCATTGGATCAGCCTCCCTGAGAGTGTAGGAGCTGGCACCTCCGTGACCTCTGACCTTTCACATGGAGTAGTGAAAGAAATTCCTGCAGCCTTGAGTCACCTTTGGTGACTTGGGCTCCATCCCACCTGGTCTAGACTCTGGTTATTAGTATTTGGGTGGCTTCCATCACTGCACTGTTATGACAGAGCCACCTCTCACGAAGCCCTGTTCCCTTCCGGCTTGGAGACTGACAGCCTTCGTTCCATGTAATCCTCAGAGTTCTGCAGCCGAGGCTCAGAGCAGTTACTTGCGGGATCCAAGGTCACTTGGTTTAGTAATGCCCGATTCAAGGTCATCCTCTGCCTCTTCTGCCTCACTACATGCTTGCCCCCTCAGCATGGATGGGCCGGGATTCTACTGCTCCCCAAGTGTCTGTGTTGGCAAAGGCGGAAGCCCCAGAGTCTCACGTGGAGCTGTGCTTGCTTTGCAGATCCGGCCCCAGTAGCCTCAGTCCAGTGTGAAGTGGTCCCCAAAACGCCGACCTTGGTTCTAAGGTGGGCCTGCCCTGCTGGCACCAGTATGGGCTTCCAGGTGGAGGTCAGCAGAGGAGACTGGAGGAACGAGACACACCTGGAGGGCTGCCCCCTGGAGGAGGCTGGCACTGAGTACTGGACGGAAGTCACACATTTGAATTTCTCTACCTCGTATGACATCAACGTCACCACCTTGTCCTGTAACAAGATGGCAACCCCTACCCTAAACTCCTGCGTCACGAGCATCACAGGTGGGCTTTGGGGCGGCAGGGTGGCTTGGTGGCATTGTGGTTTCCCCATGAGCAGCTGGCCTTGGTCAGAAGTCTCTGCTGAGACAGTGGACACGTAGGCATAGGATGCCACCGCCAGTGTCCCCACGGGGGCTGAAGGGTTGCTAAGTGAGGTCAGGGCTGCGCTGCCCAATAGAAACTAATGTGCTCCTCATGTAATATATTGTTATGATTTAATAACACAGTTGAAAATCTTTTAGAAGCCATATGAAGAAAACATAAAAAAGAACAATGGAAATCAACTTTGATCACATTTTTTTTAACTCAGTATATTAAAAGTGTTCTCATTTCAACATGTAGTCTGTATAAAGTAAGTCATTAATGAGATATTTGCATTCTTTTTTGGCACTAAGTCCTTGATGTCTGTTCTATACCTTACACATGTAGCACCTTTGAACTTGGACTAGTCACGTTCCAAGTGCCCCACAGCTGGGTGAGGCTGTGGTTGCCCCATTGCACAGGGCAGGTTTGGAGAATTGCATTGTGGGTGTTTTGGAGCCCCCTTTTCCAGGTCTCCCTAAGTCTTGAACATAGCAGTGGAAACACACTGTATGTGGGGACAAGTTTAGGTAGAGCAGGTGTGTGGAGAAGGGTCATCTTTAATTCAGCACGCCCTTCCCATTGTGTTAATTCCTAGAGGAGCTTCATGAGCTTTGCTTGGAAAGGTGAGGCACCCCCAGGGGGCGTTCTGTGGTTGGATTTCTCTAGAGAGCATTTAAACCTACTCCCGCAAAGTGAGGACTTGATGTGCGCAAGGACGCGGCGCACGAGTGTGGCCAGGTCTCAGGAGAACCTGCATTGTCTCCACGCCATCTCTGCCTCCCTCCACTCCGCCTGTTCTCAGCAGGCTGATTCCTCCCATGGCCTAGTCTGTGCAGCAAGCAGATGTCTGTGTATGGCTCCCGGGTCCCCACCTCAGAGTTCCTTCCACACAGTCACTCACCTCCTTCTCCTGCCCCAGTTCTCAGGATGGGGAACCTGGCCCTTCTGGGTCAGGAGGGGCCGGGGGCAGAAGAAAGGCAGGTCGCCTTCCGCCAACAAGGCTGTGTGTGGGAGGCCGCCCTGGCGATGTGGCCGGGCCCCTGAGGAGGTCCCTGTGAAGCAGGCAGGCTCCCACCCGTCCCTTCCCTGCCCCTTGCTCCTGGATTTGCTTTGTGTGAGCCCAGCACACAGCTTCCAGAGCACGGGCGGGCACTGCAAATTCTCTCCTTAATGATTTTGTTCCTTTTTTGGTTTCAGAGGTTGCATGATCCTCTTTGATTTGCTCTGTTTCAGACCCACCTCCTCCAGATGGATCTCCTAATATTACATCTATCAGTCACAATTCGGTAAAGGTCAAGTTCAGTGGGTTTGAAGCCAGCCACGGGCCCATCAAAGCCTACGCTCTCATTCTCACCACTGGGGAAGGTAAGGGCGGGGGTCATTATGGGTTAAACAGCCAGGGAGTGACACCCTGGCCAGGCCCCGTTTCTGTACCCACCAAGGCACATTAGAGGTACAAACACACGTCTGTGTCTACACCGTAGCCCACGCTTGGCACACAGATGGGGGTGGGAGGCGTCTGCTGTTTGCCTGATGGTCTAGGTCAGGGGTCGACCAACTTTCTGGAAAGGGGCCAGATGGCAAACACTTGCAACTTTGGAGGCCTTCCTGTCTCTGGCCTGACTCAGCTCTTCTCCTCTCCGGGGCAGTGTGACAGCGGTCGTGGGTGACACGGGGGTGTGGCTCCGGAAAGTCGTGGGTGACACGGACAGAGTGCCCTCCCTCTCCGGGGCTCGCGGGGACAGTGAGTGCAGCTGTTCCAACAAAATGTCATTCACCAGCACGGGTGGGTGGCCAGCTGGATTTGGTCCATGGGCCCTGACTCGCTGACCTCAGATCTAGGTTTTTTGTCTCTTTTGCACCACGGGGTATTATCCTTTAGGGGGCAGAATGTCTCTCTCTCACACACACACACACACACACACACACACATGCAAATGCACACACACAAATCATCGGCAAAGCGTGACTTTCTCTTGAAAGCAGACGGAATGATTTGCATTTGTAGTGGGAACTTGCACACAGCATCCTCATAGCTGAGAGAGGAGGCGGATGAAAGGCCGCCTTTCCCTAAAGGGCTCCGGCGCATCCTCTGGGAGGAGGAAAGGAACGATTCGAGGGTGTCTTTGCTGGCCGTGTGGGTGCTTTGTACAAGGCCTGGATAGGGAAAGCCAAGTTGTGTTGTTTTTGGTGGTTCTTTACTTGCGAATACTGAGGAACGGCTCCTTCTGCATTGTTCAGCCTATGACTGTCCTCATGTCCTCAGGGAAGGTGGGGCTCAAACACACCACCAGGCGTGGGGATCCTGAAAGACAAGGAATTTGCTGGTTTTGCAAACCTGCAGCAAAACTTCAGGAAGTGACGCTGAGATCTCTCTCTGCCTTTTCATTTGGGTCTGATTCAAATACCTCATCATTTTGCTCTGAAGGTTTTCAGCGACTTCCACACTCAGACCATTGCTGAATGTGGGGGGCAGTGGTTGGACTGAACGGTCCCAGCCTGGGGTGGTCGAGATCGCGTCAGACCGTGTGGGTTAGAAACGCAGCCCCCCACGCGGGCAGTGTGGCCTCGGGCCCTTTTTGCTTTCCGTGCCTTCACTTTCCCATCTGTCAGGTGGGGATAGTGAACCCGTGTGAAGAGGTTGTTGTGGGGGTTCAATGAATTGATGTAAGTAAAGCGCTTAGAACTTAATTCTAGTAAAGCCTGGCAATGGGAAGTGTCCTTCAGGGGCGGCGGCTCTCATCGCTGTCACCCACCCTCAGGGTCATGGTCGAGACGGTGGGAGACTGAACTCTTTGTGCAGTCACTGTCTTATGATTCCCCCTCTCATGCCTTTCTCAGCTAACCCGTCGGCAGAGGTTTTGAGCCATACGTATGAAGATTTCAAAAAGGGGGCCTCGGCTACTTACGTGACGTACTTCATAACCACAGGAGAAAACGCAAGTTCCGAGGGCTTGTCTGAAGTCTTGAAATATGAAATCAACGTGGGGAATGAGTCGAACACGCACGGCTATTACAACGGGAAGCTGGAGCCCCTGGGCTCCTATCGGTGAGGCCTCCCGGTTCTTCCTCTTCGGGAGCCGAGCCTCCTGGGAGCGCAGCTCGTGTGCCTGGTGTTGGACACGTCTCAGCCTCCTCTTTCCCCCCCGTTGTCCTGCAGGGCGTGTGTGGCCGGCTTCACCAATATTACCTTTGGCACTGACGGTCTTCTCATAGATGGGAACAGGAGCTACGTGTCCTTCAGTCGCTACTCAGACGCCGTTTTCCTGCCCCAGGACCCAGGTAGGGGAAGAACCGTGTGCTGTGAGCAATGCAGTGGGTGTTTGCAGCCAGTGTCCACAGAAGGCTGGTGTCTCGGCCTCCCTTGGGCTCCAGAGGCGTTGGAGTGCTTGGTTTCTTCTCTCAGAAGCTGAGATGTCACCTGTCCCCAAAGGCCCCGCCCTCCTGTGAATGCCTGCCACACTTCAGTCCTTTTTCCTGGTACAGGGATTGGGGTGCCCGCGTGCCAGACCCTCAGTGAGACTTGGTGCGTAGAATCCTTGAAGGAGGCACAGGAATGTCTTGTCCAACCCATTTTAGAAATGCAGGCGTTGAAGCCCCGAGAGGGTTTGACTTGCCGCAGGTTTCCCTGTGGCTTAGAGACAGGCCTGACATTCTGGTCTCAGATTGCTCACCAAGCACTCCTGTCCTTTACCACACAGAACAAGGTGATTTAGGAGCTTCAGGGACCCCAGCAGGATACATCCCCCACCTCTCAGGCCAGAGTCATGCTGACCAACTGGCTCATCCGTTTGCCTGGTCTTCACACTGGGTAGTTGCTCACGACAGGAAAGAACTCCTGCCCCAGAAGTGAAGTGCAGGGAGTCTCCACTTCCTTCCCCAACACAGAAGTGGGTTTCATGTCACCCGAGCGCGGAGCTGTAGATACTTCCACTCACACGCACCGAGTAGCCTCGGAAGGTGCTTCACATCACAGGGCCGAGCCCCGAGACGCCCCCCACTCCCACCCCCACCTCAACATGAGCGGTCCTGCCTGGCTTTCTCTTTTGTACAATGGGCCCTGCATGCAGTTTCATTGGAAGTAAGAAATCCGTGGGTGAGAACCTGAAAATCACTGATCTAACCCCGTTCCCTAAATTTGCCGTTGAGGGGGGACTGAGACAGGGAGAGGAGCCGTGACTGTTTCGGGACCTCCAGTTAGTGGGGCCTGGGGACAAGTCGCCCAAACGCTTGGACTCGTGTTAGGTCCGAAGCCGTTTAACTCAGTGTATGTCGGGCGCTCTCTGTGGTTCGAGGGCTCTCCTGGGGGTCGGCCTCTACAAGGCGGCTCCCGTGTGGGCTTTTCCCAGGAGTCATCTGTGGAGCGGTGTTTGGATGCATCTTCGGTGCCCTGGTCATCGTGGCCGTCGGAGGCTTCATCTTCTGGAGAAAGAAAAGGTGACTCTTGCTTATATTAATAATAATAATACTACCCTCCTTTTTGAAAGGAAGCTTTTTATCATGGAAAATTTCAGACTTTTACGCAGTTGGAAGGAACAGCATCACGAGCCCCCATGTCCCCATTATGCAGGGTCCTGACGGCAGGCATGGTCGCATTGCACCCCCACCCCCAGCTGGAGGGTTTCCAGGCAGATCCCAGCCCTGACGTCAGGCCATGGGCAGGCCCTGCAGTGTGGTCACTGCTTGCAAACAGTGTGTTCTGGTGCACAAATCCGTTTCCTGAGGCCGGGTGAAAAAGGCGGAGGGATTAAGCAAAAATACACAAATAAACACACGAACTCATAGACACAGAGAACAGTATGGTGATTACCAGAGGGAAAGAGAGGTTGGGGAGAGTGGACAGTGTAGGGGGGTAAGTGGTGATGGAAGGAGGCTTGACTTGCGGTGGTGAACATACAATATACAGATGATGTATTATAGAACTGTGCACCTGAGACCTATATAATTTTATTACCTAATGTCACCTCAATAAATTCAATAAAAAGAAACCAAACCCAAAGAAACCACTTTCCTGGTGTTAAGAGAGTTCGGTTTAGAGTTAGGGGACTTTGAACCCACACCCTGTCTCTGACTAGTCAGTCGTTAGGGAGGTTGGCGTTAAGTGTCCTCATGTGTGATGGCGATAAAACTCCTGACCCTGCAGAGCACTGAACAAATAAAAGTGCTTTGCATAGTGTTTGTGCCTTGTAGGCTGTGATGATATGACTAGTTCATCTGTCCAACTACCACTTGAGGCAGTTAAATTGTAAAGACAACAACTCTGTTTTGAACGCTTACTGTGTGCCTGGATTTGTGCTTTCTACGAAACCTCTCACGCACGAGGCCCTGGGAGGCAGGTCTTATTGGCCCCACGGTGGGGAGGAAGCTGAGTGTGGAAATGGACTCGAAACTGGTCTCTGCTCTTGGTCCCACACCCTCTCGCCCGACTGTGTGGTGTGTGCAGCCTGTGTGTCTCCTGCGATGCAGCGCTGTCATTATGCACAGCCGGCCAGGGAGTTTTCACCCGGGCCAGGGTTTCTAAAGCGGCCACGCCCGGTTCTTCTGCCACCGACTCAGTTAATAGGCCGTGCCGGGTGTCCAGCTTTTTGCATTAGATGCTGATACTTGTTTTTTTCAAGGGAGGGGTCAAAAACATTGTTATTGTATCTTGTTAAAATAGAAGTGGTACTGCTGTGTATAATAAAAGAAGCAAAGGAGAGCAAAGAAAATCCATAATTGCAGCACCCATATGGAACTGCCCTTGACATTGATGTTATTACTGAAGTCACACACAAACACATATAGACACACACACACACAAGTGGAATCATATTATACATGTTATTTTCTAGTTTGCTTTATTCACTTAAGACATGGGGACAGCTTCATTTTGTCTTTAAGTGAATACAGGATATTCCACTGTATGTATTTTATAGCCAATTTCCTTTTTTCCCTTTTGCCATAGTTACCTATCCTTGTACCCAAAGATGTGGGCACATTCACAGTTATTTTCATAAATGCCAAGGTGCTCAGTGGCTGAGTCAGTGGGTATACCTGCTTTCAATTTTGATACTGATGCCAAATTATCTTTTGGAAAGTTTTTTTTTAAACACCAGTATGGGGTTTAGCCAAGGGTGCAGGAGAGTGCCAGGTGCCTCACTACCTTCCCTATGCTGGATATATTTTCTAGTTTATTCCATTAACTTATCAGAAAGCCTTTCTAAAAAGCAGAGTGTGAAATAAATGAGCCTCACTTTACAATAAGGTAATGCTGCTGATAGATATTTATACCAGGAATTTCCTAAAAGCTGCTTGAGTGAGATTCTTCCATGCTTTTGGATGGTATAACAGAGAGGAACTTCACAGTTTTCCAATGGGCACTTATTGCTTAGACCGCTAAGGTTGGTACCAGCACACAAGGTGAGTGCTGCGTGGGAACTAACTCCAGGGAAGGCGTTCTGTGGGCCCACGAAAGGGGCACAGCACAGAATTAATGGTTTTTGTCTAATGCTTCTTTTCTTTTGCAACAGGAAAGATGCAAAGCACAATGACTTGCCCTTTTCTCAAATTAAGTAAGTCTCTAAAGTTATGAGCTTTATTTTAAGTGCTTCAATCCCCCATCTGTTTGGTAACTATCTAGAGAATCTTTGGTGGGACTTGCTGTCATTTTTCCTGACAGACACACTTGGCCGCAATCGTCCAGGAGTTCTTGCTAGCTTTGCTGTCTGCGAGGAATGCGTGTTTATCAGTGTGCGGCAGCCGGCTCCTTGCCATGTGCTGCTTTGGCAAGGAGAGCCATACCGACCCTGTTCTACCACCAATCCTACTCATATGTACATATGTTGTGATTACAGAACAGGTTATCCAGACCTAGGAGCAGCGACCTTGCTCAAAGTTACAAAGCCAGTCAGTTACATCACAGGGTCTAGAAGTTGAATTTCCTGATGCCCAGTTTTGTAAATAATATTATACTGACCCCTCCCCCAACTTCCCTTCCCTATACAATATTACACCATATAGTTTCTTGTTTTGGGAAGATGTTTATTTCCAGAGGCATGGTTGAGTCATTTTTTCTAACTGCATATTTTTTTCTCTCTCTTTCTATGATGAAGACCTAAAAAGTGAGTAAGCTCTTTGCTTTAAAAAAACAAAAAACAAAAACAACTTGTATTTTTCTATTTCCGCCGTATTGAATGTAAACGTTCCAATACATTGTCTTGTTTTCTTAGGTCCAAGTTAGTCAGAGTGGAGAATTTTGAGGCCTACTTTAAGAAGCAGCAGGCTGACTCCAACTGCGGGTTCGCAGAAGAATATGAAGTACGTGGTCGTAAACGTCGTGTTTTCTTTGCGTTGTTTTTCCCGAAGGTTGTAAAATGGCCCATTTTTGTTTCATGGTGGGGCTCTGGGTGTGAGGCGACTCGACCCTCCCGGAGAACAGAGAAGCTCTCATGTGCCCCTTGGGGTTGTGCTGTGGCTGTTTTGGCTGTAAGCGCCTGGACCTCGATGGACCTTGGATTCTTGCTGACCCCTGAAGATTATGTAGAGATACAGAACCTGGGCACCCAAGCCAGCGGGCTGTTAACTAAAGTAATTAGGACACTGTGAGCAGGAAAGACACCAGATGGGGTGTGCGGGGGCTGGGGCCGAGGCTGCGTGGTGGAGGTGGATTCCAGAGGGTTCCGTGAAGTCACAGGCAAAGGGCTTGTGTCTTCTGTCCCCTGGATGCCTCACCCCCAGGCCCGCTGGACCCCACCCCCAGATGGCCACGCCCACCACCCTCCACAGGTGCCCACACTGCGGCATAGGAAACACGTGCTACTGAACACGGCAGGGTTGGCTGTCGTCATGCTGCAGTCCCATTGAATTCTGCCACACTCCGTGCTCAGTATCAACAATATTTGAACACTAACTAAGTGAACAACTCATTTGTTTTCCCTGCAGGATCTGAAGCTTGTTGGAATTAATCAGCCCAAATATGCAGCGGAACTGGCTGAGAACAGAGGAAAGAATCGCTATAATAATGTTCTGCCTTGTGAGTTGATTTTCACACACAGTCTTCCCTCGAATGGTAGAGGGGAGGGGAATCAAGACACCAGCTGGCCACTTCCACAGCCATTCATTTGTCACCTGCTGTGTGCTGAGCACTGTATTTGGGCATATTCTATTGAATTCTGTCCTCATGGCAACCTCAGGGAATGGGTGGTGGAATATTCACTTTGCAGATGAGGAGTATCGGGCACAGAGTGGCTAAGGGATTTGTCCAAATTCACACAGACATCATTGGCAGGACCAGGCTCGGCCAAAATTTGCCACTTTCATTCAGGGACAAGGCCAAAGCCTGTGCATTTTAATTGTTATTTTTCTTAATTTAAAAATATTTTCCAGTTACAGTTGACCTTCGACTGTGCTACTTTGTATTAATTTCAGGTGTACAGCATAGTGGTTAGACAATCATGTACTTTACAAAGTGGTCCCCCTGATATTTCCAGTACCCACCTGGTACCACACACAGTCATTACCATGTTATTGGTTGTATTTCCTGCACTGTACTTTACACCCCCGTGGCTATCCTGTAACCACCAATCCCTTCACCCAGCCCCTAACCCTAGCTCCCTCCAGAGCCTGTGCTGTTAACCGCTCTGTCTCTCAGCTCCTTTATTTCCGTTAATGTGGTTCTAGAAAGAAGAGGAGGATAGTCAGGGAGTGACAGGCACTCTCTGCTTGTCCAGGTGTGTCTCTGGTGGGCTGGGCACATTTCACAGCTGAGCATGAACTACATTTGGGTTCGCTCCTGTTTTTGAGACTTAACAATGTCTGCAGCCACACTGGCAGGGATAGCAGCAAATTGAGTTTAAAATGTAACTGTTTATCACATCGTTCATTTAGACAACAAGTAAACCCTTTCCGCTAGAACGTCCTTTGTGCTTTCTCTTTCGGGTGGGAATTCGGGCACAAAGAGAATGACAGCTGTGTTCCGATGTAGCTGAAAGTGACTGGCTTTTCTGGTGACTTGCACGGCAGGACGTGTGGAGACGTTGCCTCTTTTACGTGAAGCTGGTTTTTCTTTCCCGGCCTGAAATGTTAACTTCTGTCTAGATTCAGGATTTCCCAGCTCCCGATTCTTTCTCTTCATTTCCCCGCATTGGCAGTGGACACAGGTCCATATTATGAGAGAAATGCTTTTAAAACTGGGTGGGTAGCACCCGCCCAGCCCCGCCCTTCCAGGACTCACCTGGGGTTGTTGGCCTGCTCTTGGTGGCCGTCCGTGGAGATTTTCAGATCCAGAGTTTGGGTATTGTTTTTATTGGGAGATTGTAGGCTGGAACTCAATTTTGTAAGAGTTTGGCATTGTTATTTTGTCCAGGGGAGGGTGAGAAAGTGGTTAGGCAAAGACGGGAAACATCAGTGGTGTTGCTGATAACTTGGTCTGACATTCGAATCTACGGCTATCATTTTATTTTTCCAGCAGGCAAGTTTGTGTGTTTTTGAGATGACCCTACTTGGAAAACACGAGACTTTTGTATTTTAGATCCTCCCACCCATAGTAGTCTTGTACATTCAGTTTATACTTGAATTTGGTACTTTTCATAACAGTTTTTTTTTAGGAGACTAGAGAAAGCGTGAAAAGGGTGGGAAGGTTAACCTGAGTTTGTACCCAGTGGGGCAATTTGTTTAATCCTAGTGGACAAGGCGCTAGCTTTGAATTCCAGCTGCCGTTCACAAGAAAGAAGTGTCTGGAGGAGTCACTTAATTTCTCTGACTCTGGTTCCTTATCTGTAAGGTGAATCTGTAAAATCACCCCACAAAAGCTTGTGGGATGGTTTTGAGGAAAAAGCACCATTGCTCAGGGCATGGCCCATGGCAGGCAGCCTGGATTCCATCCTCGATTCTGCCACTGACACCACATACCTCTTCTGGGCCACATGACACAGGGCGCCGGTGAGGATTAAACGTGGCCACACATGTGCAGTGCCAACCCGTGTCCCTTCAAGGTGTGACAGAGCCCCCGTGTTGCCGCTGTGGGCTTCTCTTTTCTGTCTTGTAACTCACTGCCCTCACACACTCGCTTCTCACGAGGACCTTTCTCTCTTCATGTCGCAGATGATATCTCGCGTGTCAGGCTTTCCGTCCACACCCACTCTGCTGACGACTACGTCAATGCCAACTACATGCCTGTAAGTGGGAGCCGGCCTGCCAGCCCCCGCTGGCTGGGGTGGGGGGCTCCAGAGCTCCTCCTTCTGCTTCTTTGACATTGAGTGCATGCCACTTTCCATTTGTAGGGCTACCATTCCAAGAAAGAATTCATCGCCACACAAGGACCTTTACCCAACACTTTGAAAGATTTTTGGCGAATGGTTTGGGAGAAAAACGTGTATGCCATTGTCATGCTGACCAAGTGCGTCGAACAGGGGAGGGTAAGCACCTTTCAAAAGTACATCTGATTAAGTTCATTCATTCATTATTATTATTATTATTTTTTTTACTGTGGTGGAAGGGTGTCTTAAAACCATTTGTCCTTTTAATTTTTTCCCACTTGCCTTAAAAAAAAACACTTCTCCAGACATGAGCACCTCTATTCTTAGAAACTTGTTTTCTGTCTTTTTCTTTTCCAAGTAAAAAGTTTAAAGGACAATTTTATTTAAAATCAACTAAAATAACTACAGAGTAAAAAAAAATTCTTTAAAAAATCTATGTTGCTACTAACTTCATTTGTGGAATAATAATATTCTCTATTCACTGAGTTGCTGCTGCTGGAGTTGGTTAATAGAAGGAATTGGGTTAGTGTGTGGGAAGCCTCCTGGGCCTGGGGCAAGATGTACCCCACAGGGCGCAGCTCCGCCCTTCTCTGGCTCTGATTGGCTGCAGGCTCATTGTGTCTCTAAGCAACCCGCTTCTTCATCTGTGAGAGGTGATACCTGACCAACCTGGCGATGCTCAAACTTAGTTTTTAGCCCTGGAAACTTTTCTTCCTGAACAATCTCAGACTTATCCCCAGATAAGTCTCAGGAGTCCTCGCTCCTTTGTGGTGGCCTTCAGTGCCCTGGCCGCTTCCATTAAAGATACAATTTCTTCTAGTAATAAAGCCCCATATCTCCATGGGGACCTGAGGAGGACTGGAAAACATGCTAGATTCAGAAAGCCTGTACCTGAGCAATAGGACCTAATGTTGCTCTGAATTTTTTTTCACGTAGGTCTGTTATTTGAGGAACAGGATAGGACTTGAGTCCCTAAGCCAGTGGCTTTCAAACTTTAACATGCATCAGAAACACCTTTAGAATTTCTCACTCAGAAGACCGGTGGGGGACCCAACAGCTGCATGGAGATAGTCCTAGGAGCAGCCGCTCCCGCTGCTGCAGGTGCACGACAGCGAGGACCCGTCAGGCGTCATTGCTTCTAATGTTCTTCACTTCCCTTTCATATAGCAGATGTGTTTCCAGCCCGAGTGTGTGTGAGGTCCTGGGTCAGGGGCTGGGCGTGGAGGGATGACAGGTAACAAAGAACAGTAAGACAGGGTTTCCGTCTCCACATTTCTTGTGAAACAGAAGGAGGGCTCTGCACCCCCTTCTTGTGTCAGGAGAACAGGCCGTTAATGCAAACAAAGGAACATTGTTTATGAATGCAAGGCCACTGCATGGCGCTGTTTAGCCCAATGGCTCACACATGGAACATGATTATAAATATCTGTTGGACAAACAAAAATGGGGTAGTGAAATGAGCAAAGACCATGAAGATGAAGTTAGATGGTCCCTTGCTCATCTTAAGTCAGAGGTGAAGTGGGTGATACTTGTTCTGAGCAAAACAGGAAGGGAGCCAGCACATTTTCTGCACAAGAGAACTCCATGCATGTTCTTTCTTTCCCAAACAACCCTGTGAGGTGGTATCATCATTTTATTGATGGAGACACAGGGGCCCAGAGAGTTTAAGGCCTTGTCCACAAGGTGGCAACGAAAACCCAGCTGGTAACGAGGCTGAGCTGGAAATGAGCTCCATGTCAGCATGTGTTCAAATCCTGTGTTCTTCCGTGGAGCAGCAGACCAGAAACTGGGGTCTTTGAAAAAGTGTAGATCCCCTGCCTGGGTCAGACTCTCTGGAGGTGGGACCCGGGCATCCGCTTTTAAAGTGAAACAGACCTCCGTGGTCAAACAAATAACAAGCCAGGTTTGGGAACTGCCAGATTTGGAAACCACCCACTTGCGGCAGAGCACCCTTCGGAAAGTGGAGTGTGTGTGTGTGTCTTTTAAATTGTTTGCTACATGTGGCTGCAGATATTCTCAGTGGTGGTTTCTCGATTTTTACTTCTGTTCCCATTTGCTTGCCCACCTTATAGGAGCCAAGATCCTAAAATGATTTCATCTGGTGCTCTTCACTGGTGTCTGTGTTTGTGTTACAGTTAGTGTGTCCCTGACGGTTGTGGGAAAGGCCTCATTTCTTCCAGCTGGGCGTGGTTGTGGGTCGATTGAAGACATTTAGTTTGCAGAGGCGGGGGTGGGGGGAGGGGGTTGCTGTTGGGCCACTGGGCGCTGGTGGGACTGTGTCCCCTGGGAAGTTACAGCTGCTGCTGGGCTCTCGGTCAGTTTTCATGCAGAAATGGGGGTTCAGCGTCGGCCACATTGTCTGCTTCTTTCAACAGAAGCCAGAAGTCTGGATTTTTATGAAAAAACCTTCCAATTTTAAGAGTTGGCAACAGTTGTAAATGAAAAAAACCACAATTTTAAGGGTCAAGCCGAACCCATCTAAGGGACTTAATCAGCCCCTCATGCCAGTTGTCAATATCTGGTCTCCCTCGTTAGGCTTCAGTGATAGCAGATGGCGTGACCTGCGTCTTTGCATTAAAATGCATTTTCATTCTAGACCAAATGTGAGGAGTACTGGCCTTCCAAGCAGGCCAAGGACTATGGGAGCCTCACTGTGGCAATGACCTCAGAAATCGTTCTTCCAGAATGGACCATCAGAGACTTCACGGTGAAAAACGTAAGTAGGACCTCCAGGTGCTTGGGTCTCCTGTGTACTCCCCTGTGTTAATTTTAGGGCCGATGCTTTGTAGGGCAGTCTTAACCAGTATTTTTTTTCTATGCATCTAAAAAATATTTTTGCTTTTTCCTTTACAGAGTAAAACAATTCATGTCTTTACAAACGCTAAGGCAGTCCTTTAGCTCTACTTTCTTAAGGGGCATTTCCTGTTCCTCTTGACTAAAATGGACCTTAAGGGCTGGCTCAGCGCCCATCGCTCTTTTCCTTGCACTTCCAGGTGACTTGCACGCACAGCTGGGGTTACAAAGCAGGGTCCTTTCAGATTAGCTGGTTGGAAATACGGCGTCAGGAATGCCATTTCCTGTGGGAGCAGTTTATGGTAACAGTTTCATTAATAGGATTCCAGGGCACCTGGCTTCCCTTACTGCCCCAAACTATGAAAACAAATCCAGTAAATTCTGTAGGCATTTTAGAAAGTCAGCTTATGTGTCTTTTTCTTTTCTTAAGAGTGTTAAAGAAAAAAAAAAGCAGTGTCAGGAAGTAACACTGATGTCTCCTGATGGGCAGAAATTGTATAAATTGGCATAACCCTTGGCAGTTTATATCAAAGGCATAAAAATATCCATTTCCCTTTGATCTGGTGGTCCCAAGTTTGAGAATCTTCCCCAAAGAGACAAGCTGAAGTGCAGGAGAAGGCTTACTGTTCATAAAAATGAAGCCCAGCCTTCTTTGTCGTGGTGGGGGACGTGATTTGGACACCATGTGCGTGTCTAGCCTTTGGAGACTGGATAGCTAAGCTATGGGCTTTGTAGTCTCTGTATCACGATTCACTGTGAGCAGTGAGAGCTGTGTGGACTGGATCGTTATCGTGAGTGTAGTAAGAGAACATGCTGGGAGGCAGCGTTTCATGCATATCGTGAAGAGTGCATCACAGCAGAGGCTGGAAGGAGATTCCGAGGGCAGGGCCTGCAGTCCAGTGTAGGTGAGCGAGGGCAGGGCCTGGCTGTGGGCATCAGGAGGAGCGTTCAGTGCGGGGCAGGAAGGGCCCAGCCTGGGTGGGGTTCTGATAATCAAGATAATAACTGTGTTACTCTGTTATAACAAGGTTCACTTTCTGCTTTCTTCCTGATGTTGAAATGCATGTTTTTGGGGGAAGGCCCTTTCTCAAGTGCCTGCGATTCTAAGTATTGGTGCTTGCTATGTGCCCCTCATGGTTTTAGGTTCTCTGGGAGACACAGGAATTAGGAGGCAGTTCCTGCCCTGAAGCACCGACTATGCTAGTTGTATTTGTACATATTTATTTCAGCTCAGTGATATTCCCAGGTGGGCTCAGGGCCGGGGTTGGTGAAGCGCTACGGAGTTGTAGGTGTGAGAAAGTGAGCACGTGGTTGGCAGAAAACTGTGCTGGGGAAGGGAAGGGGCCTGAACCCCACGACAGAGGATGGTGGACTCTGCATCTGGGCTGAGTGTTGGGGACGTTACTTTCCCTCTCGGAACCTTTGCTCTCTTGTCTTTAGAGGAGATTGGGTGAACACATCAAAGTTCATGCAGGCCCTGGCTAGTGTAGCTCAGTGGACTGAGGGTGGGCCTGTGAATCAAATGGTCACTGGTTCGATTCCCAGTCAGGGCACAAGCCTGGGTTGCAGGCCAGGTTCGCAGTGGGGAGCACATGAGAGGCAACCACACATGGATGTTTCTCTCTCTCTCCTTTCCTTCCCCTCTCTCTAAAAATAAATAAATAAAAAATATTTTTAAAAGTTTGTGCAGGCACTTTATTAGCTGTTGCACCAGTGTAAACTTCCAATTTCTGGTTGTAACCACCCCTGTTTAGCTGCCTTTCAGCTGCCCCCCGCTGCGGTTCAGCATTCAGGAAGGCTTGATTTCACTAGCCTTTCTGCTCTTGCTAGGCAGTCTTTCTCTCCAGATCTAACCCCTTTCCTTGGCTTTCAGAACATGACAAGTGACAGTCACCCTCTGCGACAGTTCCACTTCACCTCCTGGCCTGACCACGGGGTGCCGGACACCACCGACCTCCTCATCAACTTCCGGTATCTGGTTCGCGACTACATGAAGCAGAGTCCCCCTGAATCGCCGGTTCTGGTGCATTGCAGGTAGGCAGATGCGCTCCCGTGGGACAGATTTCAAAGGCAGTTGTGAGGACGGCCGCTTCGGGAAGGCGGGGTGTGAGATGCGTGCGGCAGGCAGTTACAAATCCGGGAAGGGCGTGGATGGGGGACCACGACTTACTCCCGAAACTCTGGGGCCGGGACTGGCAAACTGTGGCTCCTGGGCCGGATCTGGTCCGTTGCCTATGTATTTTTTAAACCATAATGTCTTTCATATTTATAATGTTTATTGTAAAATATTTTAATGTTACAAAAATGTAGACAATAATAACAATTTAATAAAGTATACCATGAGGCCACACATGGTTTTTTTGGTTACTAATGCATTATAGATGTAAAGTCTCCACTTACTGGCCTCTTGTTGCCTTCTCCTCACACAGGTGAACGTGGCTCTAAAGTTCATCTTCGTCCTGTGCTTTTATAATTTCATTGTGTGTGTATATACCTCTGCGATTTCATCTAGCTTTACACTTGCACCGGATTTTTTCATACACACATCATTCTGCAACCTGCTGTGTTCATTCAGCATGTTTGTTATTTGATAATGTTGAAACACGTACTTTAAAAAAAATTTATCTTTTAGAGAGAGGAGAAAGAAGGGAGAGAGGGAGAGAACCATCAGTGTGTGGTTGCCTCTTGCGTGCCCCCTACTGGGGACCTGGCCCACAACCCAGGCAGGCGCCTTGACTGAGAATTGAACCGGTGACTCTTTTGTTCACAGGCCAGTACTCAGTCCACTGAGTCACACCAGCCAAGGCACATCATTCTCATTTGTTTTATTTTTCCATTTAAAAATGTTTTTTGACACACAAATATTGTACATACTATATATAACTTGAGTTTGGGGATAAGTATACCCCCCGGAAACTATCACCAGCATCTTTCTTTGCTGCCTGTTTTTGTAGAGTTTCATCAGAACGTAGCCATTCTCATTAGTTGGCACAGGGTCTGCAGTTACTTTCGTGCCTCGGTGGCAGGAAGGGGCCTTTCGGTTGCCAGCTGAAGGTATTTACAGTCTGGCCCATAACAGCAGAAGTTTGCCAGCCCTTCTCCCGAACAATGACAGTAGCTTTAAAGCTGGAGAAATTGATTTTAAGACAGCAGAAAGGAGAGGCCTCGTTGCCCTGTGGGGACTAAATTGATGGCCCTTGCCGTCCTACTTTATGGTGGTAACTTGAACAGCTCTGAGGTTTAAGAATCTCTAGCAAAGTGCTTCATTGTGCATTTGAAGTGCATTGGACTCCAAAGGAAGTCCAAGCCGGTGCAGTGTGACTTGCTGAGGCTTCACCTGAGCGAGTGCTGAGTGGCCCTGGGCTGTGTCCTCAGGGTCTGATGGTGGCGGAGAGCAAAACACACGCACGGGGAACGTGGGAGCCGTGCAGCCAGGGAACCCCCAGCGCCACGCTCGTTTCTCTTCCCTTCCAGTGCGGGCGTTGGGCGGACGGGCACGTTCATCGCCATCGACCGTCTCATCTACCAGATGGAGAACGAGAACGCAGTGGACGTGTACGGGATTGTGTATGACCTTCGAATGCACAGGCCTTTGATGGTGCAGACCGAGGTGAGGCCTGCGTCTGTCTGACCGTCCCCCTTCCTGTTTGTTTGTGAAAGGTTGTGTCAGGACACATACGTGTGTCCAACTCTTTCACCCTTCCAGATTGTTCTGGCTCTTGGCCATGATGTGACACTGGTTTCTTTAAGATCCAAAACCGACATGGGCTTGAACTACCTGGGATACAGGGTGGCGGCAATGGCACCACATACCCAGACCTACCAGGGTCCTCACTCAGCCGCCTGTGGCAAACCTATGCCAATCTCTGAGCTTTGGCTTCCGGATGTCACTCTCCAAAAACTGGCATCTGCTCCCTTTGTTTCTGAGAAGCTCTGATCGTCCTGAAACTGAGCCCGTGAGCAGGCTTATCAAAGCCAATAGTGTGAGGCTGCATCGTGCTGCGTGAGCATCCGGAGCAGGGTAGCCGCACTGGCCTTGGGGCTGTTCAGAGCACCAGTCACGCAGCTGCGGGAGGCAGTGGACGCTCAATACTGACAGTGTCGCTTGTGTAAGATCGTCAGATTTGGCTTTCCCTGAAATGTTCCCGACAAACATTGTTTTTGTGGCACGTTCTCAACCAGTACACTGGGAAATGGCCTTTCTCAAAGCTGTGGGGTTGAGTGGGCCCCCGCCAGGGGGAGAGCAGAATATTCATTTTGCCTCAGGCGGTCACCGTGCAGCCATTGAGAAGTCAGTGAATGTGCGCTCTGCTACTGAGGCCTGGGGACACCGCGTGCCGGGGGCTGAGTGGCCTGGTCCTGTGTGAGGCGTGGGATCCCCCTCCAGCGCTGGTCAGAGCAGGCGTTTCCTGTTTTCTCCCTAATTCTGTAGAGTAGCGGCTCTCAATCTTTTTTCCTCGTTTGGGAAACAGGAAAATCTTACACCTGCCTACAAATTCGTTTCATGTCCCTTTTCCATAAAATGTTTTGAACATAATATTAACCGTCGACATGAAAAAATACGACAGTACAGGATTATACACAATATGTTTTTGCCTTTTCCTTCTTCTCCCCCAACTGCACTCCCCAGAAGTCGCCAGTCTGTGCGTATTTCCACATGGTAGTTTCTGTGCAGCTGTAGAGGAACACACATACACACACGGACATGTGTGTGTGTGTGCATGCAGACACACACAGAGTAGGTCTCAGACCCTATTTTATAAGTAATGCTGCCCTGTGGTTTCTTCCTTTCATAGCGTCGTGGATATTCTTCTGTGTGGCATACACCCTTCTTCCTCTTCGTAACAGACGCCTGCAGATTCTGATAGGTTTGCCTGCAGGTGGTCCCCATGCAACTCTGCCGTGATCAGCCCCCCTAACCTGCCTCCTCTGCTGAGAATCAGTTTGCCCCCTGTTCTGCACACGCTCGTTGCTCTGCATCATCACCCCCAGGTCCCTTCTCTGCCCTTTCCCGAGAGTCTGGTATCTCTTCCTGGGTGTGACGCCGCACATATGACACGTGACACATGACAGGAGTGAAGCTGGGGCTGTTGGGGACCATGGGTGGGGGTGAGCCTGTCAGTTTCATTCCTGGTCACCAGCGGGATGAGTTCGCTTCATTTTTCCTTGAGAATTATGGAAAACCAGGAAAAATGGGCAATGACTCTTTTTTTTTTTTTTTCCAAGACAGATTTTTTAAGGGGGTGTTTCACAAGATCCAGCTGCTAAAGCCAGAAGAGTGTCGGGTTGAATGTAGTTTAAGTGCCAGAGGTCTCTCTTTACCTGCTGCGTCTTGGACAGGCATGGTGGGGAATGTGTCCCTCTGGCTGACAGTCACTGACGGTGACATTCTCGTTCCCCGTGCGTTCAGACTTCGCCAGAATGCGATTAGCCCTTGACACGTGGTACCTCGAAGTGCCGTTTGCTGTGGGGCAGGTGGGGTGGGCGCGGGGGAGTCTGTTTGAAAGTAACGTTGGGTGCCCATCGCCGGAGTGCAGCTCATTCACTTCCTTCTTTTCCCTTTTCCGACAGGACCAGTATGTTTTCCTCAATCAGTGTGTCTTGGACATTGTCAGATCCCAGAGGGACTCAAAGGTAGATCTCATCTACCAGAACACGACCGCAATGACAATCTACGAAAACCTCGCGCCAGTGGCCACGCTGGGACACATCAATGGTCACATCGCCTAGGCCCAAGGGCCGCCCTTGCTGGAGTCGACTAGCCCATCACACCCAGGGCACAGGGAAACGCCCTCGTGTGGACAAGTTCTTTTATGTCTGGTGTCTTCATTCTGTGTTCTGTTTGGTTGGAACTAATGGGGGGTGTGAAGCCACACACGTGACACCTGATGAGTGAGAAGCTGGGGCTGTTGGGGGTGGTGGGAGGGGCGTGTCCATCAGTGACATTCCTGGCCACCAATGGATGAGTTCACGTCTTTTGTCCTTGGGAATTATGGAAAATTAGGACAAGTGAGCTATGACTTTTTTTGTCGAAACAAGATTTGTTTTTAAAGACTATTTTCTATGATCCACATGCTAAAGCCAGGACTGTATTGGGTTGAATATATTTTAAGTATCAGAGGTCTATTTTTACCTACTGTGTCTTGGAATCTTGCTGAGGGAACCTGCCTAACTGTGGATGGTGACCCTGTGGGGGGCAGGGGTCGTCCGTGGCCCCTCCCCCCCACCGGGGTTTTCTATTTGAACACGTGCCTTTTCTGAATTATGCTTCCACAGGCAACACTCAGTAGATTTCTCTATTTTTGTATTGAATCTCATAATTGGAATATGTGGAATATTTAAACAGTAGTTTAGGATCAGAAGTTCGGCCTTCTCAGTGACATTCCTGCTCCTGTCTGATCAGAGGAGACGCCCCCACCCCCTTTTGTGTTCTATTCTGTCCCCCCCCCATTTCTCCCAAAGACGTGCCTGCCAGGCACACTCTCAGCCCCGGGGCTGAGAGTGGAGACCACGTGTCACCTTGAGGATTTTGAGGCTGGGGAAGCAAAAGAGCCCCCCCCCCAGCGCTGGACTCTCCAGCACTGGTCCCCGTTTTTTGCTTTTTCTCGTTTCTGTATTTGGTAAGAAGGATTATTTAAAGGTGCAATATGTGGCTTAGTGATTCACGATGGCTCTAGGTTTTTAGTAACGTTTTACTCAGGTTGGCGTTTTGTGTGTGTCTGTGTATATGTGTGTGTTTAAAAGCGTGGCAGTCTGTGAACACTTCAGTGTGGCAAGTGTCAAATTAATTCCTCCTCTTTCAAAGGCCACTGGCTTTAGTCTGTCTGCAGTGGACAATATCGGTACCTACTGTATATACATGTGTATACTGAACTCTTCAAAAAGTCATTCCTTTGAACTGAGGTGTACAAAGTTTGAATTTGTATCAAAGATGTAATTATTATTTTTAAAACCTCTTTCACTATACTGCTGCTGTAATTACTTTGATTTTTTAAAAAGTGTAGATTAACTTTTTTTTTTTTTGCTTCAGATGTGTATCCACCAAGAATTTCAGAATTTATGTGGATTTATTTTATTGGTACATAATCTGTAAACTTCTCAAGGCATTAACATGAAAGGATTGTTTCTTTTTATTTTATATTGTGGCTCAGGTTATATTGTGGAGAGATGCTGAGTGTGTCCTTCAACAGGCAATGAAGTATACAAGGTCTTATGAAGGAATGTCCCGGTCCCTGAGAGCCCGTGGCCGTGTGCCACAGCCATGAACCTGCTGTAAACTGGGGACACACGTGTCCCGTTGAAGACGGGGCAGGTCTCTTCCCCAGGCCCGGGCCGAGTGCCCGCCTGCAGCCGGTCTCCTGACCCCGCCTCTCCCCTCGGTGTGCCCGCACTTTGATGCCAGACTGAACATGTGACTGGGTATTTTGGGGTTGCGAAGGATGAACCACAAGGTCCTGAGAGCCCTCGATTCAGTTCAGGCGTCTTTTGTCCCCCTTTCCCGGAGAGGTCCCGAAAAAACTGAAAGGAGAGGCGGCGGTGGTGTCAGGTTTTGGGAGAAGCTTGCTGCCCAAGTGGAAATTGCACTTTTTGCTGAACCCTTTGCTCTCTTTCTAGTGAGCAGTTCCTTCTGTATCCGACTCCTGAAGGAATGGGCGGGCGGGCCGGCCAGGTCAGGCCCCTCTGGACTCAGCTTCGGAGGCGTGGGTTTCAGGGAAGCCACGGTCCGAGGTGCTGAGGGCACCTGGGTTCGGGTGTGTTGCTTCCACACCCTGGCACTGACCGGGCCCCCCGCCCGGGCGCGTGGATCCTGGTGCGCTCGCCCTGTGGTGCCACTGGGAGGTTCCTGTGCGGGCGGCAGTTCTGGGGCCACCCCGCCCTGCTGCGGTTTGTCAGGAAGCCTGTGTGGCCGGTGTGAAATCCCGTGGAGATGCCCGCCCTGCCCCCTCTGCCCACACCACTGCCACGGAGACACGGGGCGGGGGAAGGGCTGGGCCCTCCGAATTCCTTTGAAACTAATGAAAACAATAATTATAACCATGTTGTGTGAAAAGTCAAAAACCAGAAGCCCTCCTCCCTTCTGCCTGGTGTGGGCCTGGGAGCCCGGCCGCAGCCCGCAAGCCACTGCCTGGCCTCACTCTGAATCCCTGGGGAAGGCTTGTGCCCCGAGGTCCGGATTCCAAATGGCAGGTCACCCAGAGGTCACAATGCCTCTCTGAGCCCCAAGGGTGGCTGGGGCTGCAGCCCGTGGGGGTGGCGACCGTATTTATAGCAGTGATGGAAAAGGGAAGATTAATATGTAAAAAATATAACAGACATAGGGGCTGGGGGTGCGGGTTAGTGGTCACAGGAAAGAGGAAGATGTGTTTGAGCTCCTGCCCCAAGCCCAGGAGTGGCGAACTCAGATTTGAGGGGTCGAGTGCCATCGTGGGGCTGGTGGAATCCTCTGCCATGCTAGCACTGGGGTTGCCCGCAGGAGAGCAGCCAGGGTGGGGCAGCCAGCAGTCAAAGAGCCAAAGATTGATGGGCAGTGGCTTGGGGGATTCGGGTCATGGGATCTCTTCCCAGAGCAAAGATGTTTTGCCTCCAAAGTTAAATGTAGCGACGACTGGCGCCAGGAGGAAATGACATTTGGGGTCCGCTCTCTGTGCCCAGGCAGTGACCTCCAGCTGGACTTGGAAGCACAGACTCCACTGGATTCGGGCTTCTCCTTGTCAGGGGCTCCTGGGAGGTGGGGGCTGGCCGCTGATTCCAGTCTGCTCTGCGTCGGGGATGGAAAAGCTCTGGTTTCTTCCGGAATGCTGGATCCTGCGCACAGAGCTCCACAGGACTCGGTGGCGGATGTGATTGGCGTCAGCGGTCCCAAGCTCTGAGCTTTCACTCCCCAGAGCCGTTGAGTGTTCTGCACACTGTAGCTTCCCCGTCCCTGCCAGGCTGTGGGGCCCAGGTGGTAGGATGTGTTGATGTAGACTTTAAAACTGTAATTTTCTTGTAACTATTTTGGAATGATGCATATTTCTAATGTTTGTTACACTTGTACAGAGTATTGCTGTTGATTGCTTTTCTTTGTTTTGTAAGAAAAATATGGCCTGAAAAAAAATTTTTTTAAAGACTTACAAATACCAAATATAAAAAAATGTCGATACATTATACCTGGCTTTGTTACTTTATTCCCCTCCTCCTCACTCGGTGTCCACACCATTTCACAGCTCACTCGGCGCGTGGGCCTGCCTTCCACCGGGGCACCCTTTAAACACAAACACTCGTGTTCCCCCTTTGTATTTCCCTCCCTGCGTTGGCTTGCTTGGACGGCCATACCGAGGTTCCACAGGTGGGCTGTGGGGCGTAGGCAAAACAGTTCTTTTTTCACAATTCGGGGGTGAGACGTGCAAGGGGAGGGGTCGGGGGTGCGTTTCTCTCTCAGTCATCACATGGTCTTCCCTCTGAGTCCGGATCTCCCCTGATTATATGGACATCAGGGCTCTTGGGTTAGAGCCCACCCTCGTGACCTAATCTCACCTCCATTGTCTCTTGAAAGTCCCCGTCTCCACATACAGTCACATTCAGAGGTACAGGGATCTGGAGCTGTAACCTGTGAATTTTGGTGGGCACGCAGTTCAGTGCCAAACACCATCCACGGTGAATGAATGGCAAGGAGACTTGGCAGACGGAGTGTGCACTAGAGAGGTGGCCCAGTGTGCTCTTGGAGGGACAGACACCCCCGCTTGGTGGCGGCATACATGCCTCAGGCCAGTGCCCAGGGTTTGCAGGGGATTTGTTGTTGATGGATTTGGGGAATCCCGGGGATGCTGGGATACTGGGGCGTCTTAGTTCATGTCTTTCTGGTATGCTTGGTGCAAACACTAAGCAGACTAAGATGATTTTGTTTTGAGATCTTGTTCCTTTTGCCACATTAGTCCATTCAACAGTGATACACTGAATGCTTCCTGTGCACCAGCCGGTGTGCCTCAGTGGCTGAGGGTCCCATGGTGAATACAATGGGCAAAAGCGTGGTCCTCATGGGGCTTATGTTCTGACCGGAGGAGGCAGACAAACAGCAGGAACCTCAGACCTTCAGTGTGTTAGACGATGAAAGTACAGGCAGAACAGGCCACTCCCTGATGCACCAACTCGTCACTGTCACATGACACGGAGAAAAGCTCTCTGCACGTCCTCCCCATGCTCTCCACACCAGCCCTGCCTGGGGGAAAAGGAAAGAGAGATGCTTGGACAGTGTGGTCACACTTCTCAGGGGGGACAGAGATGGACGCAGCGGAAGTTCTGCCCTTGAGAATGGACAGTCCAGAGGGAGGGGCCTCGTGCAGGTGGGGTGCAAATGGCAAATGACCATCCCCATGAAATGCCAGAAGGGGGGTAAAGAAGCAGGTAACAGGGATCCCAGAAGAATTAAGAGTGGGTGGCCTTTGAGCCAACTCTAATGCAGAATTTCAGCGAGATGATAAGGGGATGCGGAGACACAGGGCACAGGCAGGCGTGCTTCGCTTGGGCCTCCTGGAGACCCAAATACGGTGTGCAGGGGGGGAAGGGCAGGTGGTGGCAGACGACCTTGAAAGGTAAGGGCTCTGGGATTGTGTGTGTGGGAGATAAAACTGTCTCCCCTTGGAAACACTGCACCAGGAGTGTGTGTGTGTGTACAAACACATACATGTGTAAACTCATGTGTACATACACACACTTTTACCTTCACTATTGTCTTTGGATGGAGCCTGCCTGGTGGGTGACCACGAGAGGATGTGGAGAAGGTCACCACCAGACACTCTGCTGGGCAGTGGGGTAAAGGATGTAACTGGCCACAGTCAGGGCCGACTGAGCATGCTCAGTGGGAGACATGCTTCCTGGGCCAGCAGGTCTCACCAGGTTCTCAGCAGCCACTGATGTCACATTGGCACATCAGGCTTGCCTTGCCAATTTCTCCGTCCCCACCCCTACACTCCCTTTCATTTTTGGGGGGGAGAGACTAAGGCTAAATGCTGTCTATCCTGCCAAGGACCAAGTAACCGGTAATGATCCCAGCACACTCCCCAGTTGTTTCCTGGGACATAGAGGGTGAAATGTGGTCACTTGTCCAGGCACGGTGTCCCTGAGTATGTCCAGGTCTGCCTGGGTCTGTCACGGTTAGTGTGCTGGTGAGGCAAAAAGCACAGATCTGCGCCGTGTCCCGCCGAATTACTCCAGATGTAGTCACTACCCTGGATGAGGGCACAGAAGTCGTTTGCTTAGAAGAAGATGCTTCTGGATGTGTGTGGGCATGAAGAATGATGCAGGTCCAAAGTCTGGAAGTCTGAGCTCTAGTTCTTTCATGCCCAGGTGACCGAAATAATTGACATACCTTACCGTGTAAGTTTAAGGATTTACGTACGCTGTGCAGTGGTGAGCACAGTGGGTTTAGTTTTCACCCGTCATCTCACAGGGAAGCAGTAAAGAGAAGAGAAACACGTGTCCTTGTGTTGGGAACTCAGGGTCTACTCTCAACGACTTCCTTGCATGTCGCACAGCAGTGTGTCCGTAGACATCACATTGCACCTCACGTCCCTTGTCCTTTTGTCTGTACCTCACATCCCCGCACCTGGTTTATTTTATCAGAGGAAGCTTGTACTTTGTGAGCCCTTGGTGTTTTGTCATCTCTTTCAACAGGAGATAATTTTGTTTGCAAGAGCCAATTTTTTTTAACACAGGCAATTAGAACAGAACCTAAGAGAACACAGTCAGGATGAGCATTTTCCTCTGCTGCAGGCCTTCACTGGACGCTACGTTTCAGTTAGCTCTCTGGGTCCTGCTCAGAAACGGCACCTGGGCATCGGCAGTGTCCACACTCTGCATGTCCCCAGCTCTTCCACACACGCGACTGGTTTGGGGGAGGCAGAGGGCACAAACAACCTTCACATTCTGCTGCTGACCTGGTGTTAGTTGTTGGGGGGGGGAGGGGAGGGAAGGAGAAGCTGCAACATGGCCCAGCATGCAAACATCTTGTGCTCCTAGCATGTAGTCTGGTGAAGATTCCCAGGTGGGGTCTAGAAACTGAGGTATCACGGGAAAATAAAAGTCAGACGATCCCCTGTGCTCTTATAACACGGTAGAGCTTGAGCGAGAAGAGGGGTTCATTAAACTATAGGCAGAGAATAATCCTATTAAAAATCGGATAAATGCGTAGAAGACAAGAAGAACTCCAGACTCATGTACTGGTGGGATGGCGAGTAACTTCCGTCTTGTTTGTTGCTTGCCCAGATGTTCTGATTTCTCCCAATGAATATGCAGTGGCCATTAACGATGGTCAATTAAAAGTTTGACATTTCCCCCCTGACTCAGCATTTAAAAAATATCTTCATCATGTTTTACAGAGTTCTTTAAAATGAGTGCGAACGCAAAGCGGTTGCTGGCAGTTTGTGAAACATGAAAGGTAGGTTTTTGGACCTTGGATTCTGCACCTTGAGCTGAAGGGAACAAGGGGCCTTCTTCCTCCCACTGAGTGTGGGTGGCAGGGGGATGCTTGTTGGTATAAGGGGAGTGGAAGGAAGAGGCAGGGAGAATAGAAGTTTAGGTCCTGCTCCCCAAAGCTCTGACAGCCCTCCCATCCTTTGGAGATGGCTGCGGACGGTCCCGGGGACCTCTGAGGAAAAAGCCGAGACCCTAGGCTTTACCAGTTACATCCCATCCAAATCAGTTTCCAGGTGAGGCCTTCAGACCTGAGTGGAGCAGCGCCGGCCCGGGGCAGCAGTTTTGAATACGGACCCTAGATGGCGCCAGAGACCAGGCTGAGGACGCAGTCCCTGCTTAGAAATCGGCCGGCACCTGGGGAAAAAGGACCTGACACAGAATCAGGAAGTTGACGGGGGAATGCGTAAAAACCAGCAACAGGGAGATGGAAGGGTCCTTGCCAGCAGTCAGTAGCTTTTTTCCCTTAGGGATCATTATGTCATATGTTCATGTTAAAAAAATAATTAGGAAGTGTACATAACAGAAGGAAAAAAAATAAAAATCTATGTGGTTTCCAAGCAGCAAGAGGGCCCACAGCAGTAGCCCCCTCCCCCACCCCAAACACGGGTGTTGGTCTCCGTGGCCAACTGAGTGCAGCTGAAGTCCTGGTGCGGCACTTCCGAGATGGGGGTCTAAAGGCCTCTGCAGATTCTCTCTTGGTTTTTCTCTTAGCAGAGACCCACGTGGCGAGGCACTGAACTTTCTGCCAACAGCCACGTGGTCCTGGAAGCAGGGTCTTTGACCCCAGGCAGTCTTCTCACTGCAGATGACTCCCCCGCCCCCCATCCCCCAGCTTTAAATGAGATAACGTGTGCAACATTGGAGACTAATTGTTAGCTGCTGCTTTGTGTAGGTAGAGGCAAAAAGTTTCCTTGGAGTAAATGTCTTTGACCAGAGAAGTTAACGGCGTGCCCTGCTTAGTAATGCAGGTGTAGTGAGTGTAGGTGCCTGTAATTATATCTTCCTGTGGCAGAGCCAGACCTGCCTCTCCCCTGGGTATGCAGGATTTTCACACAGAGCAGGGGGGCTTTCTGGGGGAGGAAAGGGCTGAGGCCCCTAAATTTTGATCTTGGAGATTTGCTATTAAGGAAACCTGTTTTGGTGGGTCAAGGTGACATTGACCATGATCCATCAGCATAAAAGAATATGAAAAGCCCCCAGAGGGAGCCCACCTGAGGGGAGAGGGGTAAGCGTTGGTGAGAAAGCTTCAGCACTGCGGTGCATGTGTGGGAATTTTGACTTGTTGCAACACGTGTCTGCAAAGCCCCTCTGGATCTAGCTGCCCAGGACAACCATTGTGTTTCGGGGAGCAATAGCTGTGCATGTGAAGGTGAACTCAGGGAACTATGACCTTGGAGCTCATGGAGGAAGTCCAACCTCTGCCAGTGGGCAGCAGAGCCACGCCCACAATCAACACAGGACCGATCACATGACCACGACCAAAGATGAGGCCGCGGAGATTCTTAATTCTTCTCTTCCTACATGGCCTTGGGAAGACCACGTTTTTTTGCGCTGAGTGTTCCCCAGATGTTCTTGGAGAATATGGTGTGGAGATAGGACCTGGCGCTGTGTGAAACATAATGAACTTCTCTATGGAGAAAAGTGAGGCCTCAGGCCATTCACTGGGTAGATAAAGGATATGATTTAATTCGTAT